AAACCGGAACAAACGGGTCGGTAACGAGAGAGGCAAGGACCCGAGGAACAAGAGGACGAGCGGCACAGGTAGTCAGACAGAGGGGGGGGAGCAACGACAAGGGAGGGCGGAGCGGGCGACGGTAGAAGGGGAGGACGAGATGCGTGGGAACGAAGCAACATAGGGTGAGAGCGCGAGACAGGGGAGACATGTCGAGCACGGGAGGGACGGCGAGACCAGATGTGAGACCGAGGAGTCGGGTCAGGGGACAGAGGAGGGGACAAAAGAGGGGAACGAGGGGGGAAACGGGCCGGAGATGAGTCCGGAGGAGGGAACACAGGGCCGTAGACAGGAGGAGGAGGAGGCACAGGCACGGGGTCAGGGGACGGAAGGCTGAGCAGGCGAAGAGCGGACACCTGTGACGGCGGTGTGAAACCGACACCGGGACCGCAAGCGGCCTGGCGGCTACCTCCAGAACACTCCACGCCAGCACCCCCAGAAGGAACACCCCCAGAGCTCAGAACTCCTCGAGCACCGTTACCACCCCCAGGCCCACCGGGACAAGCCACGACAGAAGTCCCAGGACTAGTACCCACCCCAACTCCAGCACCCCCAGAGGCAACGAACTGCTGCGGCGACGGCTGCGGCGGCTGCAACGACGGCTGCGGCGGCGGCGGCGGCGGTGACAACGGCTGCGACAGCGGTGGCGACGGTGGCTGTGGAGGCGGCGGAGGAGGAGACACCTGAGATGGGGCAGGCGGCGAGGACTGCGCCGTAGGACTACCAGAGTCAGCAGACTCCTCAACCGGGACAACCGACGTAAGTGGGGTGACGTGGGGGACACCAGAGGGGGCAGGACGGGGAGGGGGAGGAGGAGGGGCGGCGACGACCGGGGAAGGGGTGACCAGGAACAGGGGGGGGATAACCCCGGGACCTAGTTTGGGGAAGCGGCGGAAAGAGGAGAGGGACTCGTCAAAGGTGACGTTACAGGATCGAAAGAACCGGTGAGACGTCGGGTGGTAGAAGTGCCAGTCAGACGCGTTAAGGGGGAAGCCAAGGAAGACACAGGGAAGGGTGCGCGCAGTGAGCTTGTCCATGCTAGAGGCACGAACGTGATTAAGGCAGCCCCAGACGTGGAACGCAGACGTGTCACCAGGTGACCCAGACCAGAGGAGGGTCGGCGAAACCTGAGGCTGCTGGGGGTGCGGCCACAAGTTAAGCTGGTGAGCTGCGTAGCGAACGGCGAACGGCCACAGAAAATCGGGTGCACCGGCATGGATCATGGAGGTGCGAGCCACCTCCATGACCGAACTGATGCATCAATCAGTGACCCCATTCTGTTGCGGGTAGTATTGCAAGGTGAACGTCTGGGTAATGCCCTCCACAGGACAGAAACGACCAAGGACACCAGAGGCAAACTCGCCACCACGGTCGGAGTGGAGATGCAAGACAGGGAGACCGCGGTGGACACGTGCAAAGACAAGCCACGGGATAAGAACGGCAGGCACATCGGCCTTCCGCTCCAGGGGGGACACAGTGGTATAGCACGTGAAGTCGTCGACAAGCACTAGGACGTAGCGCTCTCAACGCGGCCCATGGACGGGGGCGGGGCCCCAGACGTCCATGTGCAGAGTCTGTAGCGGTGCTGCAGTAAGGGGAAACGAGGAGGAGTGAGGGGCACGGCGGAGCCGGCCCTCGACACAGGGCGTGCAAGGTGGGGCTGGGGAGGAGGGAAACTCGGGGAACGACCCGGGGAGGCCTAGGACGAGACAGTGCTGTGACATGTGACGCAGACGCAGGAGCGCAGGGTGACCTAGGCGGTGGTGCCAGAGAAGAGTCGGGTGAGTGAGAGACCGATAGGAGCAGGCAGCAGCAACCGGGGGAGACGCAGCCACCTGAGGGGGGGTCCCAGCCGGGGGGGTCACCGTGTCCAGTGTGAAAAGAGCGGACACCGGGTCCCGTGGGAACGTGGATAGGGGGGCACCAGTGGCGGCCTCGGTACAGACAGCGTACCGCTTGTGACCAGGGAACGTAGTGGTGACGCCAAGGTCCGGAAGGCAGCCGACACCAACTAGGTTCCTAGAGAACGAGGGGATGTGCAGTCCTGTGAGCGAGCCCGAAGGAACCGCCGGGCAAGGGAGGGTGGTGGAACTGCGGGCGCCTACTGGGCCGGAGAAGGGGTCAGCAAGAGAGACTGCGGCAGGGACAGGAAGCGGTGTCAACGTGGTGGAGTCGCGGAAGAAGCACCGGGAAGCGCCAGAGTCGAGGGTGAAGGAGAGCGCGGCAGTGGCGGCCGGAGGCGAAGTAGCGACGGAAGCACCAAGGCTAAACAAAGCAGGGGATCCTACGCTTGACGCAGCAGGGGAGTCTAAGCAAGGCACACCTACACTAGGCAACAAGGAGTAATAGGACGGAAGCACACTAGAGTCATCAGCATACATCACATGCAGAGCAGTAACAATCTCATCCATATCCAGATCAAAAATCTGAACCCTATGACGAAGCAAACTATGCCAGTCTGGGAGCTCGGGCGACGGGCCAAAACGCTGACGAAACAGGTCGTCCAGGCGACGGAAACAGCGGACGGAGGTGTGACCGATCTTACCGCAAACGAAGCCACGGCGAGGACCGGTCTGGAGCAAGTACTGACAACGCGCGTCACCCGAACCACCACCCAGCAGCCCACCACGCGCACCACCACCACGTCCAGCGCTACCACCAACGCTAGGCCACCCGGGCGAGAGACCACTCGCCCGTCTCTGCTGCGGCTGCTGCGATTCCTGCGGCTGACGCGAGTCCGGCTGCAACGCCGGCGGCTGCTGAGACGGCTGCTCGGCTGCACCTGTCAGGGTCCCCTCGTCCGCACCACCACCAGGAGACCCAGCTCCAGCACCACCTACACCTGCACCCCCACCCCCGCCGCCATGCCCAGCCTTGGGGCGGTGACCCTTCCCCGGACGGACCTGTGCTGCAGCGGCAGTCTCAGTCACAGCAACAGAACCGTCAGAGAAGGTGCACTGAGCAGGGGCGCAACCCTGAAAGATAGGGACCGGCACAGTAGTGCTAGTCTGGGCAATAGAGCGGTGGCGGGCCTCTATAGCGGACAGGGTGTCAACAAAGTCAGTGAGGGTGAGGTCTGCGGGGTGGACGCTAAGGAAGTGGTCACGGGCAGTGGCAAGACGGTCAGGGAGGCGGGTGGCTAGCAGGTAGAGAGTAGAGGTGAGGGGCGGCTGGTGGGCTAGAAGCTGTGTGGGAGTGCAGGCAGCACGCCAGGTCTCGTCTATGGTGCGCAGGTGAGCGGCCAGGTCGGCGGTAGTGGGGAACGACGCAAGGTTAGGGAAGAGCATGGGGAGGATCAGACGACCGACCGAGGCAGCAGGCGGGGTGGAATAGCACTGGACAACAACATCTAGGAAAGCCTGGGCAGTGGTGATAGACCTGAAGCGAGGTCGCTCGGACAGGGGGAGGGCATTGCTAATGGCAAGCTGTGCGACAGCGTCACGGTACAGCCAGACAGAGCGAGCAAGGGCAGCGGCCGCAGCGGACTCACGCTCAGCGGACGAGGGATCAGTAGACAGTGCAGCGGGGGGGTCAGGGCAGAGGAGAGTACCGTGAAGATGGACAGACAGAGAGTGGCCATTCTGCCGCTGACCAGTGAGATGGCGACGGAGGTCAGCAAGCCATGCATCAAACTCAATCGGCTAGCCCTCAGCGTCAAAGCGAAGCACCTCCGCCATCAGTGACAATATAGGGCAGTGGAGAGCAGTACAGTGCGGTGCAGTGCGGCGCAGTGCGGTACAGTGCGGTGCAGTGTGGTGCGGTGCGATGCAGTGCGGTGCAGTGCGGTACAGTGCGGTACAGTGCGTTCCAAGGCGGTCTAGTACGGTATCGAGGGGGTTCGCAGGGCAGTGCTGATCGGGAGGAACGGGCCGAACCCGTGGCGGCGGCGGACTGGCGACGATGCGAATGCAGGAGCCGGCCGGCGGACGGCAGACGCGAGGGGCCAGCAAACGGCGGCAACGGGGGCCGGCGAGGAGCTGGCGCAACGGCGAGTAGGGCCAGCCACGACGGCGAGGAGACACGGCCGCAACGGCGGCTAGGGACGGCCGCGACGGCAGGAGTGACCGTGAGGCGGCTGGAGACGGCAGGGGCGGCCGCGACGGCGAGGGGGCAGCCGTGAGACGGCTAGGGGCGGCCGTGGGACGGCAGGAAACGGGCGCGACTGCCGAGGGGGGGGGGGGGGGGCAGCTAGGGACGAGCTCAACGGCCAGGGGGCCAGCTAGGGACGGGCGCGACGGCCAGGGGGCCGACTAGGGGCGGACACGACGGCCAGGGGGCCGGCTAGGGGCAGACGCGACGGCCAGGGGGCCGGCTAGGGACAAGCACGACGGCCAGGGGGCTGGCTAAGGACGGGCGCGACGGCCAGGGGGGCGGCTAGGGGCGGACGCGACGGCCAGGGGGCCGGCTAGGGACGGGCGCGACGGCCACGGGGCCGGCTAGGGGCGGACGCGACGGCTAGGGGGCCGGCTAGGGACGGGCGCGACGGCCAGGGGGCCGGCTAGGGGCGGACGCGACGGCCAGGGGGTCGGCTAGGGGCGGACGCGACGGCCAGGGGGGCGGCTAGGGACGGACGCGATGGTCAGGGGGCCGGCTAGGGACGAGCGCGACGGCCAGGAGGGCCGGCTAGGAGCGGGGCACGACGGTGGCTAGGGCCTAGGGGGCGGAAGCGTGGGCGGGCTAGGGGGGAACCTAACCTGCTATGATACCATGTCAGAAAGAATAATTGAACTAGAATGTGTGAGTACAAAGGTATATAGACTAGGGTGTTGTACCCTCTAAGGCACAATCCAGTATAGTCTACAGTAACGACCTAAGTTACAATTGACAACAACCACTTGAACAAAACCAACCTGTATGCCTCATTCTAGTTAGTCTTTTCTACTGTGAGTGTTGTACCCTCTAAGAGAACGCACCTATCTAGCCTATAAGATATATACAAATATGTTTGGCAACGGAAACCACTGAAAAAAGGCTGATTCAGCATTAGAAGTCTGACATCTAGGGTGCTGCTCCCATAATTCCATCCAACATCTTGAACTCCCCCTATGCTATATTAGACAGGCTTTACCATGAGGTCCTACAGCCAGGAGATGTAAATTTATTATTTAAACTACCATCAGATGGCAGCCAAACAGCACCATAGCATACCACCCAATCTACACCGCGACTTTCTCATTGTCTTTCTCATCGGAATCAGTGACGAGCTCAGCGGTCCTGGAGGTAGTCATGGCGCCAAAGACCGCAGCCGAGGTGAGCCAGAGGAAGATTGAGGCCCAGCTCTGAGCCATGGTCGCACTGCCGTAGTACGGCTGCCCTGCATGCACCATCATCATCTGCATGTCTGCAAACCCGTTCTGCACATCAGGAGCACCAGAAAAAGCGGCGAGTTGGACTTTGGGTATGAAGGAAAAGGCCCACTGTCTCTAGCGCTCCTCAGCCCTTCCCTACGTCCCTGACTGCTACTTCTGACAAAAGCAGGAAGCCAAGCAGCCTGTGGCACCAGCTACTGACTGCATGGTCACTCAAAGAATGTGGTATGATGAGCCCATCTGGTAGCGCATGGATCTCAGACAGGTGGCGCTTGGTTTGACTCAAGGTTCAACATGATTTTGCAAGGTGTTTTAAGAATTCTCAAGAACACCTCAGACAGGCGGTGCTTGGTTCGACTCAAGGGTCAACAGGCTGACCCTGTGCCCTCGCCTTGCATCCACACAGTTCAGCGAAGCATGTGAACTTGGCCAGCAGGATGTGAATTGGAGCTGACTCAAGTGCTGCATGCACAGTGAAGCAGCATCAGCCGTACTTGCCAGCCACCACACTGTGCATCTACTACTCACCACGCGGGTGCCGATGCCAGCGAAGTATTTGAGCTTGCCAAAAAAAAATTTGTCCTTTTCAGCCGGCTCAGATGAGGCACGCACACACAGTAAGGTAGCAGCTACCGTGCTTGTTCTGATACTCACGACGCAGGTGCCGATGCCAGCGAAGTAGGTGAACTTGCCCAGCAGGATGTGGTAGGTGCCCATTTGGTACCGCGTGGCGTCAGACAGCTTGCTCTTGAACAGCACAAACGCGCACAGGCCCCACCCGAACTGTGATGCCGAAAGGGGGAAGGGTGAGACAGCAATGCAGGGAAAGAGGGAAACGCAACACACGTCATGCTTCTTTACGTGGCTCAAAGATGTTTGGCTCTTGAACAGCACGAACGCCCACAGACCCGACACGAACTGAGATGCTGAGGGAGGGCCGGGACAGCACACAGTGTGGAGCGAGGGAGGGTGAGGCAGAGCAACCTAGTAGAAATGTTTTGACAGGCCCAAGGCCCAATGATTGACGCAGATTGATCATTGAGCAAATAATGGTCAACTCAGGCGGAAGAATGTCAAGGAAAACAACAATAAAATGAGCCAAGCTGAGTCCCTCTCATTGATTGGTCAGATCAACGCTGCCAGTGAGCAACTCACAGCATGCTCGCCCAATGGGATGTTACATCAGCGAGTTGCTGCGAGCATGCTGCGAGTTGCTCACTGGTTGGCGAGGCGAAGAGCACGAGCGTGAGCCCTCCACCGTACACGTGGACCGAGTAGAAGCTCGTGCAGGAGGACCCTTGGCCACCCCGAAGACTCAAGAGCGTCAACAGAACGAGCATCAGGAGTGGAGCCAGGAGCAACAGACGCTCGTACCTGGATGGCGAAGAGCACGAGCGTGAGCACGCCGCAGTAGGCGTGCACGGAGTAGAAGTGCTCGTAGTTGGAGCCCTTGTTCACGATGATGGACGCCATGGCCACTGCCGCGAGAATGAGGGCGATCACCTGCCAGATCAGGTGCACCCACTTGGCGTACCCGTTCCCCCTGCAACGCACGCATTAAAGGCACAGGCGTTACAGGCACACGCGTTTCAGTCACACGGGCGACTGCTGAGAGAATGGGGCGATCGCCTGCCCGGTCAGCCTGACCACCCACTTGGCATATCCGTTCACCCTGCATCACACGCATTACAGTCACAAAGCGTTGTAAGCACGAGCATCACAGTCACAGGCACTTTCAGAATGCGCCAAAGGCGAGCATCAGCCGGCAGTCAGTGAGCTAGCCTCTTCGGACGGCGCGGGAAGGCGACACAGCTAGAGCAATCTCACAAACGCAAAGCAAACGACCAGCAAGCCTGCGGCGGTTAGTATAAAAAAAACAACAGCAGCTTATACCTTAACGAGTAGGAGCAGAAGGCGAGGACAGACTCCGTTGTCGCCACGCAGAACGCAACCCCCATGAGCAGCACGTGCCAGAGAAGAGCCAGGGGGAGGGATGGTTACCGTGCCTGAGCGGGAATTGCCGAGGGGGATTCTACCTGAGCGAGCTGGAGCAGAAGGCGAGGATGGATTCAGTCATCGCCACGCCGAACGCGATCCCCATGAGCAGCACGTGCCAGTTCCACCCGTTGTCGCAGTTGAAGCACGAGGAGAGCCCGCCACTGGCGGCGAGGTCGGGCGCCGTCTTGTCCTTGGAGAGGTAGGTCACGAAGGTGATCAGCAGCGCCAGCGCAACGAGCCAGAAGACGCGCGCGGACCACGAGAAGACGCGCACGGGGACGTTGAGCGTGTGCGAACCCATCGTGGGGATGACGCGGGGATGCGGATTGCGGCTTGCGGCTTGCGGGGAAGGCGGAGAAGGCGGCGAAGGCGGGGTTGGCGCGGAAAGCGGGGGAAAGCGGGGATGAGACGGTTCTCGTGACGATAAGGGCCGTCAGCTTCAGCGAGAAGGTGAGGCACGGCGAGGATGAGACGGTGCTCGTCGTAGGCGGCCGACGAAAATGACGGTTGGCCCCTGACCCGAAGCGACGACGAGAGAGTGACAGTCTCTCACGTCTCGCTGAGAGCTTATCGTCTCACTCCCTTCTCTCGAGATTGGCGGCAGGAAGGGGGGCGGATGCCTACTTCCAGCCACCCCACCGCCACCATCAGTCACCAGATGGTCCTCTCCTCTCTCTCCTCCCTCCTCTCCTCTCTCCTCTCCTCTCCCTGCCACCACCACGGCCACACTCGTCGACTCGTGCCACGGGCATGCCACGATCCCCCCCTCATGCCACGCCGATGCCCCTCGTGCCACGCCACAGTCGATCCGCATGGTGTCGCGGTCACCGCAGCAGCCCTTCGAACATCGCGCGGATCGAAAGGAGGGGAAAATGGGGGAGTTGGGAGGAGGGAGGGAGGGAGGGAGGGAGGGTGGGGGTGCGGACCGGGAAGGCTGGGCACAACAGCGCGGTACACTGTACGCGCATACAGTACCACTGGTGGATTGAGGGAGGAAACGGGCTGGGCGCTTCCGCAAGGAGCGGGTGGCTTTGCGGCGATGATGAATGTTCCGCCGATCGGCGCCCGCCGTTTGTTCTCCCTCCGCCCCTTCCCCAAACACCAGCATCCCTCTGACGAGTGAGAGACTCACTCCCCGCCCTCCCCCAAATCCCCCCCCTCCCCGCACGGATGTCCGCCTGTCCGCCAACGAACATCCGCTGCTTGGCTCGTATCGCGCCGCAATTTCCTCGTGTGCGCAAGTGAGAAATTTCGCGGCTCCATTAGACGGACGTACATAGAAACCGCCGCGGCTCGGTTTATGGCCCTCTTTCTTAGATTGCTGGCGTGTGGCTCGCCAATCAAGGCACAGGGACCTACGGCGTGGCAACCCGTTATTGGCTGCTGCTGACTGCTATCGGTGAAATCAAGCGAACGAGCGCCTGTCGCTGAACTGAAGGGAGCGAAACGAGGGTGGTTCGTTCGTAGTCGATCAGGAGGGATCTTGCTGCCAACCTGTAAGGGTTACCCTTGTTCGTACAACACGAATTCTGGTCTCGTCGATGGTGTTCGTACATTACTGTAACATCTCCGACATGTGCAAGATCGATTTGCGTTTTACATGCACGGTTTCTGATACAGTTAATGTAAGGCAGAAGGCTTCACCTATAGTTGAGAAGATCTAACTAGCACCTACTACTAGCACTCACTGCTCATGACACCTAGTTGGTGTGTATGTGAGGTGAGGATTGAATGGTGAAATGGGTAAATTTTCTTCTGAACCTGTCGCTGCTGCTGGCTGGTCTCGTTCTCTTAGTGCTGCTGGCTCTTTTCGGTCTCTTGCTGCTGCTGATGGTGAGTCCACAAGCGGAGGGGCGTTCAGAGCAGCAACACCAGTACCAGCAGCATCAGGAGCAGCACAAACATCGCAATTTTTGGAGTGAGAGAGATGTTCCCACGTCACTGCCGAATGCTCATCTATCCCTTACTTAAACGATGCAAACCATCATTGGCTTCCACCCCCTATACCCCTCCCCTGCACACTCCCCTCCTGCACACTCCCCACCAGGGTCCTCCTTAGCAGACAAAACCCGTCTGTTTGTCTTATTTTCAGACACGATTTTTGCTTTATTCTGATTTTTTAGAAACTTCATTTTGAAGATTCTGAAGGGTTAGAAATTGTATTTGTATAATTTCTGAATTTCCAGAACGTGTACTATGGTTCTTCTGACTTTCAAGAGATAGCGAAGCATTCCTTCTGAAAGTGACTCTTTCGGTGGTCCAGCCGCCCCCCCCCCCCCCCCCCCCCCCCCTCGCCCCGCCCCCTGTAACTTGGAGTTTCCTCTGAAATTTCCTGTAGCCCCAGACTTGCGCAGAAGGCCCACCCATGCATCACGTGATGGCAATGTGCTGGCAGCAATACGGCATCTTCGCTGCCACTGTTGAGTCATATCCTGCCCTCGCGGAGAGGACTCAGCGACAGCAAGCTGCAGGTCTCGTTCTCATTGGTGCGCCGTGCACAGCAGCTTCAAGCCACGCAACCATCTTCCCACCGCACGGTCCTCACTTGTAGGACCATGCACGGCTGGCTGCCTCCGACATCGGAGGCACATTCCTTGCCGATCCCTTACGAAATGCAGAGGCGGCTCGGGAACGGACGAATCGGAGCCGATGGTGAGTTCGTCTTCTCCATCCTTCCCTCCCACAGCTCACCATCACCCCCACCGGAGGCCCCACGGCAGTTTGATTTTCCAGTCGCCGTGCTAGCTCTTCGTAGGTTTGTTTCAGCGACCCATATTTCCGCCGTGCATCCAGTATCTCGCCATGGATGCAGGCGCAGTTGCATACCGCGCAGGTACTCATGACGGGGCATACTCAAACGGCCCATACGAAACTAGGCCCGTAACTGGCTTAGATCTTATACGAGGACCGCCGAGTAGAGTAGCCAGAGTACTTCCGCCACTTCCGCAGCAGCGAACGTCCTCGCCTCTGGAAACTGGCCGGGACCTCGATGAGGATGCGGGTGAATCCCTCCCGCACAGTAGCCCACCCGCCATTCCACGCTCTCCACCGTGTTCCACCCCATCTCCGCCGCCTCTCGCTGCAGGCAAAACCGTGCCGCTCCCGTCCAGGCACACCTCTGGGCGCTTCACTCAGATGAGGAAACACGCCCAGAGTAAGAAACACGAGCGCGCAGAGGAGGATCAGTTGCAGCTTCAGGCCACGAGGGCGGCACATAGAAGTATTACTGATTATGAGGAGCCTGAGACTATGACTGCACGCTTGAAGTAGCTTATTGCCATTGTTATATGGATATGCCGTGAGGATGCACCCATTGCACTGTATGTTTCTCTCTTGAGCTTGCTATTCCAGCTCAAAACGCCGAACATCCCCAAGAAGGCCGCGGGCACCTACCAGTCAGAGTAAGTTCGTATGGTGTTTCCGTAGTGTCTTGACCACATTCTAACACCATCTTTTGTGTCCTGCAGGTATGGATTTCGGCAACTCACGGAGGCACTGGTCGTCTACCTCCGTGCACGCCAGATGAAGCACATCCTCGCGACGCCATTCGTCGGGATCCAGTTGGATGAGAGCACCGATCGGCGGCGCGGGAAGCACATGATAGTCTACTTGACATTCCTAAAGAGCGGCCGCGTCATCACCGAATTCTACGCGCATCTGACCGTCGAGAGGTGTGACGTTGCATCACTGCTCTCAACACTGCTGACTCACCTCGAGGTAACCGGACTCGACCTGCAGAGGATCTCCGGCATCTCGACTGACGGGGCTTCGGTGATGACGGGAGCATCACGCGGACTCGTTGCGCAGTTGCGCGAGCGTGTTCCGCACCTCGTGTCCTGCCATTGCATTGTGCATAGGTGAGCTGTTATTTGCGTGAGCTTGCATGATCCATTTTTAACGAGTAAAACACTAACTGCTGCATCCTTGCTTTGCTGTGCAGAGAAGCGTTGGCAGCCAAGGATGCTGCCAACAGCAACCCTGATTTGGGAGTGGTCGACAAGATGGTGCGCTCTCTCGCAGACATTCTAGGGCGTAGCATCGTCGTCCATTCCCGCTTCTTCGAGCTTCAGAACTACATCCACCAGACGCAGCTCGAGATGCAGGGCATCAAGGATATACGCTGGCTTTCCCGTGGTGAGGCAATTCTGAGACTCTGTGATGTGCTCCCTGCGGCTATCTTGCTCCTGCGAGAGTTCGACACGAAGATGTATGAGGTGGTAACGAGTTTTAAGTTCCATTTCTTGTTGTTTTTCCTCGCTGACCTTCTAACCGTTCTCAACGATCTGAATCGCAAGTTCCAGCGCCGCGCGGTAAGCACTCGACCTCGCAAATGTTTATTACTACACTGGGTTGGTCTCTAACTCCCACATCCTGTAACGATTGTCTCAGGTCGATGTCACGAAGGTCGGCACCATCATTGAGAACACATGCAACGTGCTGCGAGCACGCTACATCGACTACGGGGTGTGCTTCGGCGAGGGGAGCATGAAGCTGACGGGGTTCCTCGACGACCATGGACCTACTAGCAAGCGGATCGTCACGGTGGATGGCTTGGACTCCGAGGGCAACCCTGCAACGCACACCTTCCGCCTTCACAAGAAGCAGCTAAAGGATCAAGTCAGCCTCGGAGATCTCGAGTCCTGCATTGCCCTTGCCTCTCTGTTTGCGCAGGACGTTATCACCAACCTGGAGACCCGCATGGCGAGCCTCAGCACACTCCGCGGCGCCAAGCTCTTCTTCGCCAACGCCTATCCCGACAACTACGCCCGGCTCGATCGTCTCTGCGCCGAGTGGTTCGCATCGCTGAAGCAACTCTTCAGTGCTAAGTCGTGTAACATGCCAGGTGAGTCCGTTGGCTACTTTGCACAGCTAAATGCATGTATTATGCACTCTAGGACCGAGTTCAATGCTAATGCCTTGTTAGTTTTACACGTCTGCATAAACCCTGCCCCAGGCGTCGACTGGGCTGCGGCTGAGCATGAAGTGAAGCCCTTCTCACGCATGATGTTCAGCCATTACAAGGATCACTCGTTTCTCAACTGCCTCAAGAACGTCTGGCGCTCGTCGGACTGGCTAGTTACCTACCCAAACCTAATCAGGATCTGGGTGGCTGTCGCCGTTCTCCCACTCAGCACCGTTGAGTGTGAACGCAGCTTCAGCCGCCAAAATGCTATCAAGTCCTGGCTTCGCGGTAACCTGTGCGATGCCCGCCTCTCGGACCTGATGCGCGTGTCCCTTCTGCAGTACGATGTCGTTCTGGATTATGTCCTGGAGATGTGGCGGAGGCCGAAGAAGCGGCGCCCAGCCAGAGAAGTCAGCATGCCCCTCCCTTCCCGTAAGCGCCGCAAGAAGGCAGCAGCAGCAGCAGCAGCAGCGGCAGCATCGGCGGCGGCGGCGGCAGCAGCAAAAGCAGCAGCAGCAGAAGCAGCAGCGGCAGCAGCAGCAGAAGCAGCAGCAGCAGAGCCACAAGAGGACGCCGAAGAGGCAGTGCCGCGTAGGGTCAAGAGGAAGAAGTTGAAGAAACAGCGTAGGGATGAACAGCTCCGTGTAGATGTTCGGAATTCGATTGTGGTAGATAGTAGTGACACAGAGTAGATTGCAATGATAAATGGACTGCTGCTGCTCCCTCCTTTCTCTAGTGCACTAATAGACTTCAAATAATATTTCGTCTGTTATAACAGAAATTCACATTACATTTTTCTGATCCATCAGACAAAGCTGAAATGGCCATCTGATCGTCAGAAACCCCGAAAAGTCTAGGGAGAGCCCTGCTCCCCACCCCCATGACCACCCCCCCCCCCCCATCCCCATCAACTCATGACCATCCCCCAGCCCTGCTTCCCGTTCAAAAATAGACCGAAAATGTCAACTCACATATATATTTGTTGTTATAGACTAGATAGGTGCATGCTCTTAGAGAGTACAATACCCAAGCATAAGAACCCTTGTATGCCCTTGTCTAATCATTCGCTATTCTGATATAGTATCAGAGCGTCTGGGTCACCCTCAGGGACTAGCACCATAGAGCAGAGATGAGGAGCGGTCTCAGATACGAAAGCTAGCTCGTACTGCCTGTCCTCTAGGATGTCACTACAAAGGGCAGGTGCACCCCCGACGAACAGAGGACGGCAAGGGTCAGAGACCAGAGCAGTGGCGTACTCGAGGCGGCGGGTTAGGTCCCCCCCCCCCCACCCGCACTTCCGCCCTAGTCCCTAGCGCCCGCCCTAGCCCTAGCCCGCTGGCCCCTAGTGCGCGCCTGCTGGCCCCTAGTGTGCGCCCTTGTCCCTGAGCGCGTCGCTGGCCCTTAATGCTCGGCTGGCCCCTTCGCAGCGCTGGCCCCCTAGCCCGCCGCTGGCCCCCTAGCCTGCTGCCGGCCCCCTAGCACGCGCCGACGCAGGCCCCTAGCGCGTCGCAACCGCAGGCCCCTAGCGCACTGCTGCTGCAGGCCCCTTTTCGCGCAGCCGCCGCGGGCCCCTAGCGAGCAACCGCCGCTGGCCCCTAGCGCACCACCGCCGCGCCCGCCCTAGCTTGCCGCGGGCCCCTAATGCACCGCCGCCGCCGGCCCCTAGTTCGCCGCCGGTCCTAGGAGGGGCAGGGGAGGAGCCTAGGGGACATGTAGTAGAGGCTCCTAGACTAGACATAGTGGGACCTAGACCCCTTGGCCCCAAGGCCCCCCGTCCTCCAGAGAAACCACTGGCCCCAGGGCAGTGACCGCCCCAAGGCCGCACCTCCAGAGCCCCCACCGTGCCCAACACTCCCAAGACCCCATTGCAGCTGCTCCGGTTGCTGCTGCTGCTGCTGCGGCTGCGGCTGCGACACTAGCCAATGAGCCCGGAAGCAGACATCGAGGTCGTGGAGCCAAAAGCCAAGGAGGTAACTAATGTGATCCTCTAGGAGCGTGCAGTCTAGGTGCGGGCTCACCAGCTGTAGCCAGTGAGCGGGAAACCGAAGAGCAAAGGGAAGTGCCCGGCGGTCTGGCCGAGGGACAGACCCTAACGAGGATATCATGGCGAGAGGAGAGGCGATGAAGAACTAAAAAAAAAAAACGAGACTAGTGGGAGGCACTAGGTGCTACAGGAGCACTAACTGAGGAATTCGCAGTGGCGACTGGCGGGAGCAGTGGCAGCGAGCAGGAGGCTAGTAGTAGCAGCGGCTAGCGGTAGGCTGATGGTAGCAGGAGCGAGTGACAGTAGGACGGCAACGGCGGCCAGCTGGCGGCGGGCTGTAGCAGCTAGGATGAGTAGGGAGCAAATGAGGAGGAAGTACGCGCGAGAGCAGCTACTAGGAGCAGCACACTGAGGAGCTAGCTAGGAGTCACAAGGACTGGCGGCACATGGCGATTGACGGTCCACAAGGCACAGGGGACTCACGAGGCTGGCGGCTGATTGGCGACTGGCGGCTGGCGGCCAATGGTTGGCGGCTGGCCACGAGTGGTGACAGCTGGCGGCTGACTGCTGGGGGTCAGCGGCAGGTTGCTGGTGGTCGGCTGCTGGCGGCTGGCGACTGGTGCTGGCTACTGGTGGCCAAGCTGGTGGAAGCGTAAGCTGACTGTTGGCAACAGCAGTGGCGACAGGAGTGGTAGCGGCAGCTGCAGAGGCAGCGGCGACAGTGGTGGGAGCACCAGCTGAAAAGGCAATGGCGGCAGTGGCGGCAGTGGCGGCTGCAAGGGCAGCGGCGGCAGTGGCGGCTGCAAGGGCAGCGGCGGCAATGGCAGCTGCATAGGCAGCGGCGGCAGTGGCAACTGCAGCTGGCTGCTGCAGCGGCAGAGGCGGCAGTGGCAGTGGCAGCAGCAGCAGTGGCTGCAGTAGCTGCGGCAGTGGCGGCGGTGGCAGCACAAGCTGCGGTAGCGGCGGCCGCAGTAGTGGCAGTGGCGGCAGCAGCTGCGGCAGTGGCAGCGGCAGCAACGCAAGCGGCGGCAGCGCAATTTGCAGCAGCGGCAGTGGCTGCCGTAGCTGCAGCAGTAGTAGCGGCGGCAGTGGCTGCAGTGGCGGCTGCAAGGGCAGCGGCGGCAGTGGCGGCTGCAGCAGCAGAGGCGGCAGCGGCAGTGGCGGCAGCAGCAGTGGCTGCAGCAGCTGCGGCAGTGGCAGTGGCGGCAGCACAAGCTGCAGTAGTGGCGGCTGCAGCAGCGGCAGTGGAGGTAGCAGTGGCAGTGGCAGTGGCGGTAGCGCAACCAGCCACAGCGCAAGCGGCAGCGGCGCAAGCGGCAGCAGCCGCTGCGGCAGCGGCAGTGGCTGCGGCTGCAGTGGTTGCGGCAGTGGGCAGTGGCTGCAGCGGCAGTTGCAGCAGTAGCGGCGGCAGCGGTAGCAGCAGTGGTTTCAGTGGCAGTGTCGGCTGAAGTGACGGCGGCTGTCTGGATACTAGCTGGCAGCAGCTGCTGGCGGCAAGCTGGCGGACGCTGCTGGTGGCTAGGTGGCCGGCGCTGCTGGCAAGTAGCTGGCAGCAGCTGCTGGCGGCGAGCTGGCGGATGCTGCTGGCGGCTAGCTGGCCGGCGCTGCTGGCGAGAAGCTGCTGGCGGTGAGCTGGCGGATGCTGCTGTCGGCTAGCTGGCTGGAGGTGCTGGCAAGTGGCTGGCAGCAGCTGCTGGCGGCGAGCTGGCGGACGCTGCTGGTGGCGAGCTGGCTGGCGCTGCTGGCGAGTAGCTGGCAGCAGTTGCTGGCGGAGCGCTGGCTAAGGCGGCTGGCGAGCTAGCTGGCTAACGTGCTGGTTAGCTGGCTGGCACGAAGGCTGGTGTGCTGTCTAGCGCACTGGCTAGCAGGCTGGCTTGCGCACTGGCGGGCATGCTGGCTAGTGTGCTGGCCTGCTGGCTGCCGTACGAAACAGTGCGAATGCTAAGGGGGGGGGGGGGGGGGGGGAGTCGAGGCTATGGAGCTTGAAATTGGAGGGCAGGAGGTGCGCGAAATTGAGAGGGGCACACGCGCAAAAGAAAAAAAAAAAAAAAAAAAAAAAAAAAAAAAAAAAAGAGGAAGCTACAGTAACGCGGAAGCGTGAGTACCGGCGGAAGTGTGAGTACTGGCGGAAAAACCTAACCTAGCTCAATACCATGTGAGAGTAGCGGGAAAAGTGTGCTAAGGGAAAATGTAGAGGGATACAAAACTAGGGTTGTTCTTGCTAAGAACTAAACTAGCTAATCTATATTAATATATTTGTTGGACCGCCCTATCCAGAGAGTGGACTAGTGAAGAGAGAGAGGTACAAGAAGTGGGTTGTCCTCTCTACAGTAAGAACCGGAACTTGTAGTGCACCTACCTAGCCGACACACACACACACACACATATATATATATATATATATATATATATATATATATATATATATATATATATATATATATATATATATTGACACACCCCGTAAGCTTGATAGGCGCTACTCACAGAGGCAAGAGCCAGGGCAGCACTACTAGTCTGTCCACTGGTATGAGTAGTAAGGAAATTGCACACCACACACCCATCACCTCTAAGCCCAGCATCCCCATACTTAGCAGCAGCTGTGGGAGTCTACAGCGGGTCGACCCCTCAGCGTGCGAGGCGGCGACGTCAGCGGCAGGGGCAGCGGCAGCGGCGGCGGCGGCGGCGACGACAGCGGCTGCGGCGGCGGCGGGCGGTGGCAGAGCCAGCGGCACCTGCGGCGGCGGCGGCGGCGGCGGCAGTGGTGCCTGAGGCACCTGGCGGCGTGGCACGGCTCGGCGACGACGGGGGAGGACGGCATCAGACCACCAGCACCTGTGGCGAGGAGGGGGGGGGGGGGGGGATGCAGAGGAGGGGGGGGGGACTTCGGCGGCGACGCCAGTTAGCGAGCCGCCCTGGCTGGCGAGCTGGCTGGCATGCAGGCGTGCTGGTTGGGGCTAATCCAACACTCTGGCCGCTGCCGTCCTTGCGCTAGCCTGGCACGTCGAAGCCGCCACGGCAGTACGACGAGGCCGCCACGGCAGCGTGTCGAGGCCGCCACGGCAGCGCATCGAGGCCGCCATTGCAGCGCGACAAGGCCGCCACGGCGGTGCGAAAGTGAGAGGAGAGGAGAGAGTGCGCTGCGGAAGCGTGAGGAGAAGAGCTAGCAGGATAAACCTGCTTTGAAACCATGTTTGAAGGAGGGTTTGGCTAGGTATGCATGAGTAGCGAGAGAAAAGAGAGTGGACTAGTTAAGAGAGGGAGGTACAAGAAGTAGGTTGTCTTCTCTACAGTAAGAACCAGAACTTGTAGTGCACCTACCTAGCCGACACATATATATATATATATATACATATTTACATTTATATATAATATATATATTGACACGTCCCCTGATTTGGCGGAGCGTGTTCGCACGACCGAGCACCATAAAAAACAAGCATGTGATGTCCCCGCTGTTCAGCCCCATCAACAAAGGTGTCAGGTTGAGCGGGTGTCTGATTGATATTAATACATTCGAGTCTTTGAATAAAGTGAAAATAGTATTGTTATTATAGATACCGGTATTATAAACTTTCAGTCCACCCATGGGGTGTTGGTAACACAGGCTGCAAAAGAATATGCATCTGTGTTACGCTCGATGACCTTTTGCGTTGATGTGCCAGCCCCATGGCCAGATTTCACATCCACTCGCAACACAATCGGGTTGGTCTGAAGGCTCTCCCCATTCTTGCTGCAAAATACATACAAGCATCATGTTAATATGGTACATGTTTGGGAGGAGGGATACCGGAACATCAAACACGGAGGGGAGAGGTAAATGAAGCAGACGGTGGAATGGTGTAGATGATGAGGAATGGTGCAGACGGAACGGAGAGAGGCAAAAGGGGAGAGAGGGTTGGAGAGGAAAAGAGGCAACGCAGGAGAGATGGACAAAATACCCGAAGTATCATGGAAGGTGTGATTCAGCATGGAAGGTGTGATTCAGCATGGAAGGTGTGATTCAGCATGGGAGGTGCGATTCAGCATGGAAGGTGCGATTCAGCATGGAAGGTGCGATTCAGCATGGAAGGACCTAATCGAGGGAGAGAGAGACTAGATTGAAAGGTCAACAGCATGGGTACCAGCGAAAGGTTGCGATTCTTATTTCACCTGTGCACCAGCACATGCTGCAGCTCTGCGGCATATTTGAGTGGATGCAAGGGTGGCACCAGGTCATCGTGATCGCCAGTCAGCAGCATCACTGCTGAGTACTGCTGGGTGACTTTTAAGTCAACTCCAATTTGCTCATCCGTGCACCTGTGCATCAGCACGTGCTGCACCCTGCAGCTGCAGTGAGCTGTACCCTCACCTGTGCACCAACACGTGCTGCAGCTCTGCGGCGTATTTGAGGGAATGTGAGGGTGGCACTCGGTCGTCATGATCGCCAGTCAGCAGCATCACTGCCGGGTACTGTGGTGTGCGCTCAGCCCACTGCCTCTTTGCTGCTGCCTCAGCCGCTGCCACGTCACCAGCTGCCACCTCAGCTGACTGGGCATCTGTGTTGTTGCTGCTAGTGCTGCCAGCTTCCCAGGGCCGTCTCACATTGTGCAGGGGGGAGTAGCTGGGTAGGGGGTGTAGGGGTTGGGAAGTCGACATGGGCGAGCGATGATCAAGAGGTTCAGAGAAGGGAGAAGGGAAAGAAACAAGTGGCAGTGCTTGGGCAAGGCCTCGCTTGCAATGTTTGCAAGAAATTCTTGTCGCCTGGCCATCCTGGTCGATTGAGACGTCTCAAAAACGGAATTGCTGAGGCAACGCATGGGTGTCAGCGTACCTTAGCAACTCAAGCTGATGCCTAAAGCAACCCCTTGAAACGGCGTACCTGAGGAGCCACTTGAGCTGCTGGGGATCGCTGGAGCAGCCGTATTCAGAGGTCCACGCATGGCCGACTGTGAACTCGTGGAATCGCAGCATGTCCATCACGCCCACATGTGCCAAGGCACAGGCAAAGAGATCAGGGCGCTGGAGGGAGGGGAGGAGGGAGGAGGGAGGCGTAAATAAAAGGTAATGCAGCATGTCCATGAGGCCCACGTGCGCCAGCGCACAGGCGAACAGGTCTGGGCACAGGCAAAGAGGCCAGGGCACAGGCAAAGAGGCCAGGGCACAGGCAACGAGGCCAGGGCACAGGCAAAGAGGCCAGGGGTCAAGGCGATAGGGAAAGGGGAAGGAGACAAAGAAGAGAGCAGCATACTACAGTGAAGTCGTGGTTCGATGGCAGAAGGCAGCCTGCCGTTACTGCCACCCTTTATCACCAGATTGGATGGCATATGACTAGATCAACACCAAAATGCATGCCCACCTACATGCATGCCCACCTACATGCATGCCCACCTACATGCATGCCCACCTGCATGCATGCCCACCTGCATGCATGCCCACCTGCATGCATGCCCACCTGCATGCATGCCCACCTGCATGCATGCCCACCTACATGCATGTCCACCTGCATGCATGCCCACCTACATGCATGCCCACCTGCGCACATGCCCACCTGCATGCATGCCCACATGCGTGCATGTGAGCATGCATGCATCAGCCGTACCTGGTTGACGCTTGCGCCCATGAGCAGGCCACCATTACTGCCGCCCTCTATCACCAGCTTGGAGGGCGACGTGTACCCCTCGCGTATAAGGTACTCAGCGCAGCTCTGATGGAGGCACGGGGGAAGGGGGAAGGGAAGGGGGGGGGAGGGAAAGGAAGGGAAGGGAAAGGAAGGGAAGGGTTAACGTTCACGTCAACCACACGTGGAAGGCGATGTGTACTAATCGCCTATAAGGTGCTCTGCACAGCTCTGGTGGAGGCAAGGGGGAAGGCATGCGGTAAAACGTTCACATCTACTATGCTTGGATGGCGACGTGCACCCCTCGCATATGAGGTGCTCCGCACAGCTCTGGCGGACGCCAGGGGGAGGAGGAATGTCTGAAATTTTGACGTATCATGGTAAGCCATCCAGACTTGGCATATCATGGTAAGCCTCCCAGATAGGCTTGAGCATAATACCCGCGCGGGTCGGGTATCCGGACCCAGATCCGCTTTTAGGGCGGGTCGGGTATCCGGATTACCCGGGCGGGTATTTGATACCCGTTACCCGAAACGTTACCCGACAGGGCCGGTGACGGGTACTCGTCGGGTCGGGTTAATAATACCCGAGGTCGGGTATCACTCCTAGACATGGGCGTAAGTCGTGCTGTATTTTAGGTTTTGCGGCGAAATGGTTTGGGAGGTGAGGGGGGACGAGTGGAGTATTTGTGAGGAGAAGATGGAGTTTGTAGATGGGGAGGAGTTCAATTCGGTGTAAGGAGGGAGTTTGGTTGGAAATGTTGGAGTTTGTAGACAGGGATGAATTCAGTGCGGTGAAAGGGAAGGAGTTTGGTTGGAAATGTTGGTGGCGCGTACTAATACCCGTTTTTCAGGGTAACCGGGTCGGGTATACCCGGACCCGCCCGCCAGGCGGGTATTGTATTAACCACCCCCTAAGGCCGGGTCCGGGTAAGGATCCTGGGCATATTACCCGACCCGGACCCGACCCGAAAATACCCGAACCGAGGTCGGGTATTGCAAACCGGGTCGGGTCGGGTAATTACCCGGTTTTGCTCAACCTTACTTCCAGATGAGGGTATAGCTTTGAAGGCCATGTGAGGGTCTGCCTTGAGCAGGTGCAGTGCACAGCTCTGGGCATTCACACCGGAAGACCACTCTGCTTGGACCCCTCGCACTCAGGTGACTCTTGAGCCGACTCAAAAGTCACCTCGCATTCACAACGGAAGACCACTCTGCTCGTACCCCTCTCACTCAGCACTGTGGGGGGTGCAGCAGCAGGGGGGCAAATGGCCGCAGGGGGGCAAATGGCAGTGAGAAGAGAACCTTCGCCTTTAACCGCGAAGCCGACTCACAGCGAAGTCATCGAAGCACTGCTGCTTGTTGGCCAGCGCCCCTGCCTTGTGCCACCTCTCCCCATACTCCCCTCCACCCCTTATGTTTGCGATTGCCACCACTGCGTTATAGTGCCTCATCAACAGCACGCGCGCCACACTGAAGGACGGCTTGATGGAGATGTTGAAGCCGCCGTACGCATAGAGAAGGGTGTAGTGGCTGGATGTGCGGGGGAGGGCCTTGCGCGATACCACAAACATGGGGACTCTGGAGGGGGAGGGATGAGGGGAGGGGGGTAGCACAAGGCATCAGCAGTACTCAGGCCACACTGAAGGGCGGCTTGATGGAGATGTTGAAGCCGCCGTACCCATAGAGAAGGGTGAAGTGGTCGGATGTGCGGGGAATGGCCTTTCAGGACGCCACAAACATGGGGACTCTGGAGAGAGGGAGGGAAGGGGGAAGCAGAGGCAGCAGAAGGGGCATGAGACACACTGACTGAGCGATGGCTCGATGGATATGGCAGAGTGATGTGGTCCGATCAGATGTTCTTCATCGGTCTTTGCGGGACACACCACAAACATGGGGCTCTTGGGGAGGCATGCGAGGGAGACAGCTCATCCGCAGCAAGCATGCCAGTCTCAAGGTCGGCTTGATGGCGATGTTGAATCCGCCGGACCCGTGGGGAGGAGTGAAGTGGTCGGATGTTCGGGGGAGGGCCTTGCGCGATACCACAAACATGGGGATTCTGGGACAGGGGGGGAGGGGGGGGGGGGCAAGGGAAGCAGCAGGAGCCAGCAGAAAGGGCATGAGACACACTGAACGATGGCTTGACGGATATGTTGAGTCCATCAAGGGTCAAGTGACCGGATGTGCAGGGCAGGCCCTTCTGAGACACAAGTAAGGGACTCTGGGGAAAGGGGAAGCGGGGTACATCACTAACTTGAAGCACCTCAAATCAAAGCATGGCCGCGAACACCTGGTCTAGTTGAGGAACATATGCACAAACACTTTAAGAGTTTTGAGACGTCTCTAGACAAGTCAAACACACCTGGTCTAGTCAACGAACATAGACAAACATTTGAGAGTTTTGAGACGTCTCAAGACAAGTCATACACACCTGGTCTAGTCAAGGAACATATAGACAAACACTCCAAGTGTTTTGAGACGTCTCAAGATAAGACACGCACACCTGGTATAGTCAACGAACACATAGACAAACACTTCAAGAGTTTTGAGACGTCTCAAGACAAGTCACACACACCTGGTCTAGTCAACGAACATATGCACAAACACTTACATCGGCGTTCCCACTGTGATTATTGAGCATACCTGGTGCCGTCGGTGCTGGGCACAAACACTTGCTGCGCCTCAAACAGTGAAGGGTCGAAGCCTGCCACAGCCAGCTGGCGATACACCTGGCGACAGGACAAGGGGTTGCAAGCAAGATATGCACACCCGAAGACGAGACAACAAGTGAGGGGGGCAAGGTTGGCGCACGTAGCTTTACCATATACCTGCCAAAAGCACACCTATGTGAAGTGAAGTGAAGGATGTTGGCATGTTTGCACACAGGTGACGAACACACAGCTAGGGGTCAAACCCTCCTCTAGGGTGGGTGAGAGATGGTAAGGGCGCATTGGTACATGGGGTGCGAGGGGTGAGGGGTGAGGGGTGAGGGGTGAGGGGTGAGGGGTGAGGGGTGAGGGGTGAGGAAGCTCTCAAAGGAGAGGAAGACCTGTGAGCTCATCTGGCCCAAGGCGTGCACAGCACATCCCTATATGCGCGGTCAAAGAGCTCCAGCTGGGGAGAGAGATGGTAAGGCTGCATCGGTGCACGGTGCGCGCGGTGAGAGAGCTCTCAAAAGGGGAAGAAGACCTCGCTGCCGATGTGCCCTTAGGTTAGACCTGAAAACGAGTATACTGTATTCGAATTTGTATTCGAATTCAGTCGAATATCAAATACAAACCGAGTCTATGTGGCTGTTCAAACTTGCCAAAACTCGACTTCCGATATTCGACTCGAATTCGTATTCGCCCAGCCATAACTCGAGTACTCGTTTTAGTACTCGAGTTTGGATATACCTGGCTCCTACTAGCATTTCATTGCCTAGAATCAAAGGTCCTAATGCTTTTGTTGCTACGTGATGCTGCTAAAAAGCTTCACTTGCCACTTGTACAACCCCTCCAATTTCTTGTGCAAACCTGCAAGCACGGCAACACCCAAAAAACCGACGACGAACTCCAAGGGTAACTTCACAAACTTGTAGACGCTCGTATTCCCAAAACTCGAGTGCATTCGTATTCGATTTGGACTCGACTCTATTTGACTCGTATTCGTATTCGAATTCCAAGCACAACTCGAAAAAATAATTTGCATCGTGATATTCGACAACTATTCGAATGTGGAACTCGAACTCGAATTCGTATTCGGTTCTTCAGGTCTATCTTAGGTGCACACACTCTTATATACAGTCACACACCCTTGTATACACAGTCACACACCCTTGTATACACAGTCACACACCCTTGTATACACAGTCACACCCCTTGTATACACAGTCACACACCCTTGTATGCACAGCCACACACCCTTGTATACAGTCACACCCCTTGTATACACAGTCACACACCCTTGTATACACAGTCACGCACCCTTGTATACACAGTCACGCACCTTTGTATACACAGTCACACAACCTTGTATACACAGTCACACAACCTTGTATGCACAGCCACGCACCCTTGTATACACAGTCACACACCCTCATATACAGTCACACACCCTCATATACAGTCACACACCTCTGGTTCCGGGGAAGAGGCCGTAAGATCGCATCGGTACACTGTGTCGGGGCTGAGGAAGCTCTCAAAGGAGAAGAAGACCTCGCTGTCCATGCGGCGGCCAGAGGAGGAGGAGATGGCGCCCAGCGGCACCGGCACAGTGGAGAGGAGGGAGCCGTCAGCGAGGGAGCGGATCTGAACGGAGGGGAGGGAGAGGGGGGAATAGCAATTGGTTCAGGTTTGCAAGTCACACGCAGAGGAGGAGGAGATGGCACCCATGGGTAGTGACAAAATGGAGAGGAGCGAGCCGTCGGTGAGAGAACGGATCTGAGAAGGGAGGGGCGGCAAGATAGGTGGATGGGGGCAGGACTGGTTCGTGGTTAGCAGGCCTGTGAGTCGATGCGGCGACCAGAGGCGGGGGAGGAGGTGGCGGCCACGGGCACTGGCAGGGGGGGAAGCAGAGAGCCGGTAGTGAGGGAGGGAGAGGATCTGGGGTGGGGGGAGGGAGATGGGGGAAGAGCGGAGCAGGAAATGGCCAAGGGATGCAAGTGGAGGAAGTCAGATGGTATGTATGGGCATATCATATGGGTACTGGTCCTGGGAGAATAAGAGCAAACCAGCTGCTCGTGGCGTTCTCTCTCACACCCTCTTTCGGCTGATCACGCCATCACGAAGCATACCTCGAGCACGTTGGTCACGTCGCGCATGTAGCACAGCAGCAGCATGTCGTGGTTCACACACCGAATCCACTCCATCACATCCCCTTCCGACTCCCCTATCACTTCCACCCACCCTTCCTCTCCCTCCTCCAATTTCGCCTCCTCCTCCTTCCTCTCCTCCTTCCCCTCCTTCCCCTCCTTCCCCTCCCCACCCTCCATGCTGCCATCCATCTTCTCCCCTCTACCTTCCGCCCCAGTCCCCTCCTGCAGCATCATCCGCACCACCTTGCCACGTGGCGCGTCCTTATTGGTGTGGAAGGTGAACGCAGGGCCGTCATTGGTCACGTAGCTGAACATGCCGTCGAATTCCCCACGAAGGGTGATTGCAGGCAGACGCACAGAACCATCATTTCCATCCGAAGCAGAAGCGGCTTTCTCAGAAGCTTCCTCCAAGCGACCAGGTGGCAGCTGCTCCAGGTTGATGACATGGACAAGATTGTCATGGTCACAGTTCGCCCATGTGCTTATAACGAGGTACTGCATGTTGGAGGGAAGGGAAGAGAGGAGGAAAGGCAAGGTGGAATAGACAGAAAATGGATGTCATTAGAATAGGGATTTCAAGGCTGCACTCGTAACCACAACAATCATGTAACACAAGTGACGTGAACAGCTGAAGATGCAATATGAGAGCCTGATGTGCCAACATGCCCGAGGGACAGGGCGTGCGTGAGAGGGAGAGAGAGAGTTAGAGAGTACGTGCCTTACCATCATCGGTCACTTCAGAGCCGAACATCCAGGTGGGATGGGCCTTGCTCTCCCAGCACAGCGCATCCTCCCTCTGCTCCCTGCCCAGTACATGGTAGTACACCCGCTGATTCACCACGCGCACCGTCCCTGCTGCCGCCCCCTCTGTATCAACTCCTGCTTATGTGGAGAAAGAGAATCAAGGTAGAGAACGAGAAGCAAGATGAGAACAATCAATGGGCCCTGCTCTCCCAGCACAGCGCGTCCTCCCGCTGCTCCTTGCCCAATACGTGGTAGTACACCTGCTGGTTCGCCACCAGCACTGTCCCTGCTGCCGCCCCCTCCGCATCCACTCCTGGTGGTGGGGTCAAGTCAAGGCAGAGGAGGCGGAGAAAGGGGAGCACGGACGGGGAGATTGGGAGGGAAGAGGGGTAGCAAGGGTGGGCGGAGAAGCTGAAACAGCCGTGTGAAGTGAGCGTTCGAACAAACCGTGCGAGCTCAAGATCAACCCTTGCAAGTTTCAAGGATCTGATGAAAACGAATCAGCCGCTCACCGTCATATCGGTGGTAGAAGAAGCCCTTGCCGTCGTGCGTCCAGGCGATCGACGTGTACTTCACGTTCCTCAGCTCGTCCGGCTCCTTCTCCCTCGCCCCCACGCGCAGCACCTTGATGGGTGTCCAGTCGCTGCCGCTCTGGCTCACGGCGTACGCCAGGTACTCGCCATCCTCGCTAAAAGCGTACGTGCTAAGAGATACAGTCCCGTCGTCGCTCCACGTGTTCGGATCCAATAGTACCTCGGCTTCGTCCTCTAGCGACTTCTGTTGGGAAAAAGACCACAATGCACAATCAAATCTGGTAAATTCCCATCTGAAGCAATGACAGCGAATTGTGCAAGAAGGATTATAAAACCATCGGTGTATAACCAGTAACGGACCTGCATGTAGAGAACACTATGTGCCTGGAGCCCGGTATTGTGGAAGTAAAAGTAGTTGCTGCCATACTTGAACGGGCAGCCGTAGTGAGGAGAATCAATCAGCTCCGTCAGGCGCTTCTTCAATTTCTCCCTATCTTTAATCCCCGATAGAATCTCATTCGTCATTGCATTTTGAGCTGTGACGAAATCGCGAGTTTCCTGGCTATCCGGGTCTTCCATCCAACGGTACGGATCGGGAATCTGGGTCCCGTGATAGTCGTCAACGACGGAATCATCCCGACGAGCTGTAGGGTAGTTGATCGCGGTGGAAGCCATAAATCTGATCTGATGTCTATGACGGCTCAAGCAGGTATGACTGCGAGGCCCAGGAGTCAGTAAGCTAAGCTTAGTTGAGATAGGCTGGGACTGGCTTGCGAGCCAGAGACCACAGGACCAAGCAGACTGCTGAAGGAACTTCAAGGCCATGGAAGGTGCTTGACCCCTGGGATGTGTTTGTGCTTCAATGGGAAGAAGGCCGCAGATGGGTGTTGAGATCACATGGTGAAACGCTCAACCACTCCACAGAACTCATCTGGAAATAGCAGAGAAAGGAAAATAGGATAATGTGATCCAATAATGGATCCATTAGTAGCCGAATTCGGGCTTGAAGAACTTATGATTCAACCTTCATTTAGAATCTTGAAAAATATATGCTTGCTATCCTGTGGTTTACTTATTGACCTGACACATGATGTCTTTCAGGTAAAAGTTTGATATATCCTTTGCGCATTGTAGGAAACATTAGTTTACGCATGTTTTATAACACTAAAGAATGTGCTCCCAACGAAAAATCTTGGGTGAGTTTTCAAAACAAGGTGTCAGTCTTTCCGCCAAAAACGCCCCCAGCCAATCAGCAGCCGCCCGTCGGCTTCTGTGCCTTCTCCTCCCTTCCCTTTCCCGCTCACAGGTTTCGAATATAAGTCACTCCCTCGAAATCTCCTAATTCGTGTGTCAAGATTCAAGAGCTGTCCATGGTAGCTTGTCTGGCTCAGTATGCTCCGACTCAAGCCTCTTCGAATCGTTTCTCTGAAGTTGGAAATGAGTCTGTGAGATAGCTATTGAATCCTGTCACGCTACGAGGTCCTCTTCCACACGATGCGTGGTGCTTTGTGATGGCGTTCAAATACACGAACTCCGTTAGTGTGTCTGTGTGACCGTGACAGGAGAGAAACCTTTGGTCAGAGTTGTGTCGGAAATAGCTTCAGATTCATATCATCGAGTTATAATCCGACAGGCTGTCGTCGCGTCTGACAACCTCACAGTCCAGGAAATGGCCCGAACCAAACCTGCTCGGTTGAGTGCGGCAAGCATGGGTTCGCCAGAAGTTTCAGAGTCCACGGCAACGCTTCCGTCGCCGTCCAGTTCCGGCGATCTAGACGGTCCTTACCTCGCAGACGTCACGAATGTCGACTCTGCTTCCGAGTCCGGCGACCCCAGCTCGTCAACGTCGCAGTCATTCAGCTGCGTTCGTCCGTCGTCGCGAACTTTTGACCTCAACGATTGTCCGTTGAAGGTCTACAACCGCCGTCCGTTGGCGTCCAGACGGGCTCAGTTGAGACGATCACGGGGATCGACGACCCCTCGGTAATACATCTGCGTGGTGCTGCGACCGTGTGCCGTGAAATGGCATTCAATCAGCTACTGCTGAAAATTTTCCAGCACTGACGCTTCGTCACGTGCTTGAGCTTTTAGTGCGCTTAGCTTTTAGTGCGCTTAGCTTTTTTCTTACCGTTTTTGGCTTCTTGTAGCTAATACATCTCATGACTCGATTAGCGCCTCCATTTTCCGATCCCCGTCTCGTCCTGACTGGATGAGGCATGACGCAACAGCAGAGGCCCACCCCGTTTACCCTACGCGAAGTCGTGCTTCCCTTCTTCCCTCGCATACGTCCCTTTCTTTTGAGTCGACTCAAAAAGGCTCACCCGGTTTAGCTGTTTGAAGTCGTGCTTCCCGTCATCCCTAGCATATGTCCGTTTCGCCTCCAATGTTTCCCTTCCCTTCCGCGCTTCCGCTTCACCTGTCGCCTTTACCAGATCAGCCGCGACTTCAGACTCCAAGAGCAATAGTCAGGCATGTGACTCGGTTCTGTGCGGTGGCAGGCGGCGCGTGAGTGCCTTTGGGTCCTCCCTCTCCTCCAGGTGAACTCCAATAGTCCTCGAAAAGCTTTTGCTGCTCCGCCTAACACATTGCTTTCCAGTCTGCCTGAATACTAACATTCGGATTTCCACTTCACGGTCACAGAGCATAGGCGAACGTGGTATACACTTATTGAACTGCATAGTATGGCTCTAATGGCACGGACTGCAGGCTGCTATGCAGACTCATCAATCATCCCCAACCTCCCTCCTTCCCCTCGCCTTCTCAACCCTCCTCTCCATCCTCCCCCTCCCGTCTCCACCCCCCTCCGTGCATGATGCACAGGGCCCGGCGGCACAGCTTTCTGTCAGCATCGCCCTCCACTCCAAGGGCAGTGCAGCAGAGTCCGCAAAGCAGCACGTGAACACATCCTCAGCTGCTCCCCCGCTCTCCCCATCCCCCCCCTCCCCCTCTTTCTCCACCCGCCTCGCCGTATGATGCACAGGGCCCGGCGGTACAGTTTTCTGTCAGCGTCGCCCTCCACGGCCAGTGCAGCAGAGTCCGCGAACCAGGTTGCATGTCCTTCGATGTTCCTCCGTTGCTCCTCTGTTGCTCCCTTCGTTGGTATCCGAGGTCACAACGCCCATATGACCCTCTCCTGGCCCGAGAACATACCTGTTTTCTCTCATTGTCCTTGAATCCAGCACGTGTTGTTGTAACTCTCACTCCTTGCCTTAAACAATTCTCCAATCTTCTGCACAACGCATGACTCACGCCTTGCTTTCCCCCTCTTCCTGACCTGCTCCCCTCTCGCTCCCTCACCCCAACGCCTCTGCCTTTCTCACCCCTGCTGTACATGCTCCCTAACCTTGAGCTGGCCTGCCTTGGCTTCTGCTTCCGCTGCCAAGTGACCTTTGGCCTCGCACCACAGGATTCTGAAGATTGTTTCTTACAAACTCTTGTTACCTTTCAACTGACATTCGCCCTTCCTCTACCCTGTTTTTTGCCATTGCATTTCCCTTTGTCTTCAGACTGGAGAAAAACAGAGGGCAGCCACCAGAGCAGCAGCAGGGCGGCAGAAGAAGGCAAGCGGGAAAGCAGCGGCAGAGCAGGGTCGGTGCGCTGAGGAGTACCAGAGGCTGCGGGCTTTCTTTCAAGCAGTGGACGAGTTCGAAATAGAGGAGGAGGACGAGGAGGCGGAGGAGGAGGGGAGGCAGCAGAGCAAGTGGGTGGATCGGGGGAGTGGGAGGGACGAGGGGGTGGAAAGCGTGCTGGATGCTTATCAGGGGTGGTGCTGGTATATCCCACCTTCAGGCCTTGGTGGTGGTGAAGGTGCTCGTGAAGAGGGCGGGGAAGGGGCCGGGGAAGGGGATGGGGATGGGGATGAAGGAGGAGCGGGCAGTGACTGGGTGCCGGAGTTTATGGCGAGGGAAGCTGGGCTGTTGGGCGCACTTCCGAGGGTGGACGAGAAAGAGGAGGAGGAGGAGGAGGAAGAGGGGAGGAGAGGTAATGAGGAGGAGGACGAGGAAGTGCAGGAGGAGGTAGAGGAAGAGGATGAGGAGAGGGGAGGCCCGGATGAGGGGGAGGAGGAGGAAGAGGTGAGGAGAGGTATCAAGGAGGCAGGGGAGGAAGCAGGGGAGGAGGAGGAGGTGGAGGAAGAGGAGGAGGAGGAGGAGGAGGAGGAGGAGGAGGAGGAGGAGGAGGAGGAAGAGGAGGAGGAGGAGGAAGAGGAGGAGGAAGAGGAAGAGGACGAGAATGCAACGGATGCTGCAGGGGCGGAACTTTTCTTTGACGCGTACCTCCAATCTCAATTCACATGCCTCAGTCTCTCTGACGCAGTGGTCACGACAGCCAGCTCAAGTGCACAGGGCAGCGCATTGAGAGGTGGGGCAGGGCCAGGGCCACGCCCAGGGGTAACAGGCGTGGTGGCTCCCAGCAGAGCCGTAGGGACCACTCCCAGCAGGGTGATAGCCGTGACTGCCAGCAAGGCTACAGGTGTGACTCCCACCGATGCTGTAGGTGAGAGCCGGGAAGCTCAGGCAAGGGAGGGAGACACGGGTAGTGATGGCAGGAGATGGGGAAGGGAGGGCGGAGCAGCGGCGGATGGTGATGAGAGCACCGTTGTGCAAGGATGCTGGGGCGAAGGAGGTGGGCGAAGGGAGGAGGGTGGTGAGGGGGGACGCGAGAGTGACAGTATTATAGGTGCCTTTAGTGAGCTGTCAGTTGGGAATGTGGGTGTGGAAGAGGGGCAAGGGCATGAACGAAATGAAGGGGAAGCAAACGAGGCATCTCTCAACGGGGCATCTTCCAACAAAACGACTTCAAAAGAGGCGACGTCAAACGAGGCATGTTCAGAGGATGCAGCTTCAGAAGGGGCGAGTGTGCAGCATAGTTTGAAAACACGTCAACGAAATACTCTTTATGATCATGACAGCACACTGCCGCAAGACTCCCCTCACGCTCCTGGTGGCAGTGCATTCCAGAAGGATCCACAAAATCGTCCGGATGGCAGTTCCCTAAGACAGGAATATCCCCCTCTCGCACATGATGACAGTGCCCTGCAGCAAGAACCCTCTCTTGCTCCTGGTGACAGCAGCACCACTGGGGAGGTGGTGGATCTCACAGTCTCGAGCAGTGATGATGACTCTGATGACTCGGACGGTGGTGAAGTGGTCGATTCTGCCTGCACTCAGGAACCAGGGGCGGCACCGGGCAGACAACTGCGAGGGAGATATGTGGAGCAATGCAAGCAGCAGCAGCCGCAGCAGCAGCAGCAGCATGGGCGGCAAAGTCTAGGAGCGATGCGCAGGGTTCTGAGGAGCAGCATACGCCGAAACAAGCTTGCTGCTGGTGCGTTTGGCACAAAGGCTGCCTCTGCCATTTGTAGTGATGCCGGTCAAGAGATGAGTGCCACAGTGCATGGTGCTGCTCCTGCTGCTGCTGCCGCTCTTGCTGATCCTGCTTCCTCTCCTGGCTCTTCTCCTGTCCCGCCTCCTGCTCCTTCTCATTCTCTTGCTCCTCCTGATTCTCCTGCTCCTGCTAGTTCTTCTCCTCCTCCGTCTCCTGCGGCTGCCACTGCTGACGACATGGTCTCCTCTGCTGCTGCTGCTGTTGCTGCTGCTGCTGGTGTTGATGCGCCTGCTGCTCTACCAGAGCATGGGGAGGCTTGCCAGAGCCTGAATGCTTCCCAGCACAGCAGCCGTGCGTTGAGGAGCAGCTCGGCTGTCTCAGGAAGAGGGGAGGAAGGAGGGTCTATTCTAGGCGAGAGCAGCAGCCTTGCGTTGAGGAGCAGTCTTGGTGCGAGCAGAAGCGGTGCGGTGAGAACCAGGGCCCGCACACGGACCCTCCCTGCCCTGCGCTCTGAGCAGGGGCGGGCTGGGAGGGCAAGGCAAGAGAGGAGGGGCAGTGGCAGCGGTGAGACGGTCACGCCCTCTAAAGAAAGAAAATCGAAGAGACAGGGACGAGCAGAGGGGTCAGGGGGTATTGGGGAGGCACCTGAAGGGGGAGGAGAGGCGAAAGAGAGGGATGAGGGGGAGCGTGAGACCAGGGATGGGGGTGCGGAGTGTGTGGCTGAGGAGATGTTTGAGACCAGAGAGAGTGCAGGGAGGGGTGAGAGTGAAGGGGTGGAAGAGAGTGTTGCTGGCTTGAACCAGGGTGGTAAAGGAGAGATGGAGCGGGCTGGGGGGCCAACGGCAAGTCATGATGAAGGTGAGGGGTTGGTAGAAGCAGATGAGACGAGAGAGAAGACAGGAACTGGAGCACCTTCAGAGCCAGAAACAGCGGAGGGAGGTGGGTGGCAGGAAGGGGCCGGTGGTGCCCCCTCGACGAGAAAGCCACAGACAAGGGCACAGAGGGCAAGGACAAGGGAAAAGGGAAGAGGTGGAGATGACGAGGGGCGGCAGGGCGCGGAGCTGATAGCGCAGGCAGGGGATGAGCAACGAGCAGATAGCAGCAGCGTTCAGAGAGCGAGCGAGGATGTTTGGGAAGGCAGCAGGAGTGGCGCTGGAGCGGAGGAGGGAAGAGATGGAGGGGGAGAGGAGCAGGGAGTGGTGGTAGCTGGTCTTGGCGACAGGGACGAGGAGGGGAAGGGTGGGAGTGAGGAGGGAGCTCATGGTGCTGGAAAGGAGGAGGGGGAGGAGGGGGGGCAGGAGGACGAGGCGGAGGAGGATGACGGGCTTCGTGCCTTGCTTGCTGCATGTCGCCAGCCACACATGTGCTCCATGGAGCGAGCCATCACTGAATTCTGGTGAGCAGCTGCGCTGGCGTGGCCTTTTCCATTCCACCTGTTGGGCCTCCCTTCCCTCCCTTCCCGTTCCCTTTGCTGTGTGTCGCCAGCCTCACATCACATGTGTTCCATGCAGCGAGCCACTGAATACTGGTGGGCCTCACTTTTCTCGCCTCCCCATTCCATTCTTTCGTTCCTCCCCTCTCCATTTCACCCTCCCTTCCCTCTCCTCCGTATCTCACTCCCTCCCTTCCCTCTCCTCCCATTTTCACCCTCCCTTCCCTCTCCTCCCCATCTCACGTTCCCTCCCCCCCTCTCCCATTCCGCCCTCCCTCCTCTCCCGTCCCCATTCCACCCTCCCTTCCCTCCCGTCCCTGTTTCCCCCTCCCTCCTCTCCCCTCCCCTTTTCGCCATCCTTTCCTCCCCATCCCCATTCCAACCTCCCCGCCCTGCCGCGCCCACTCAACCCTCCCCAGCCTGCTGCCTCCACTCCAACTTCCTTGCCCTGCCATCTCCACTCCACCCCCCTTCCTTCCCTCCCCGTCTCACCTCCTCCTCCTTGGATTCCTCATGCCACCGTCCCCGCCCTGCCGCCCTAATTTGCCCTTCCTCCGCTGGCATCCCCATTTCAGCCCTCCGTTCCCATGACCCCCATTCCTCTCGCCCTTTCCGCCCTGCCTTTCTTCTTCCAGCAAAGCCATGGGGAATGCCGTGCCCTACTGTTCACTAGTTCTTTTGCCCATTCCTCTTATGTCTCCGTTACCTTTCCGTTCCCTTGGCCCCCGTCCCATCCTCACTCGTGGAACTGTGTATCTCTCAAGCGGTCCATGTATTACCGGGCAACCAGAGTACAGCGGTCCATATCTCTCGTGATCAAATCGCAGCAATCTGCGATCCATTCAGAAAATCAGATTTGAGGCCTCAAAACTGAAGTCCCATACTCAACTCGTGGAAACGCAAATCTCTCTTGGTTGAATGGCAGCAATCTGCAAACCATTCAGAAGATTGGGGAGGGCAGCTTTGCGGAAGCCTTTTCAGCAGAGGGAGGGGAGGGGAGGGTGTGCCTGAAGATAGTGCCGGTGGGGGGCCAAGTGCTGGTCAATGAAGAGCCGCAGAAGGTGAGCGGTCTATTCCTGTGCTGAAACGTGTCACCGCAAGGCGTCAAGCAGTCATGCCCTGCTTGCAGCGCCTGTCTTTGAGAATTCTAAAAAACGCCCTGCTTGCAGCGCCTGTCATTCGCCGCCTTTGCTCCTTTCCCTGTTGTTCCATTTTCCCTTGTGGGCCTTGTTTTTCTCCTCCTCCTCCTCCTCCTCCTCCTCCTCCTCCTCCTCCTCCTCCTCCTCCTCCTCCTCCTCCTCCTCCTCCTCCTCCTCCTCCTCCTCCTCCTCCTCCTCCTCCTCCTCCTCCTCCTCCTCCTCCTCCTCCTCCTCCTCCTCCTCCTCCTCCTTCTCCTCCTTCTCCTGAGGGGATGACTTGTACTACGTCTACATGCCGAATGTGCTGTGCTGTGGTGGTATGTCGGATGCTGATGGTGATGGATGCATGTGTGCAATGATATGGCATGGCATGCATGGCATCAGAGCGTGGGAGAGATGCTGGCAGAGGTGGAGGTGCAGATGGCGCTGCAGCGACTCAGGCACGGCGATGGGCATGACGTGCCTCACTCAACTGCCTCCTTCATCGACTGCAAAGGGTATGTGTGTGATTGTCAAGATGCCTTTAGAGTCGACTCAGGCGAGATGCTGGCAGAGGTGGAGGTGCAGATGGCGCTGCAGCGACTCAGGCACGGCCATGGCCATGACCTGGCGCACTCTACGGCCTCCTTTGTTGACTGCAAGGGTGGCGTGCAGCACACATTTGCAATGCCTCACAACATGAGGTGGGGAGGAGCACATGGCTCTGCAGTGACTCACGCATGGGCATGGGCATGGGCATGGGCATGGGCAAGGGCATGGGCATGGGCATGGGCATGGGCATGACGTGCCTCACTCAACTGCCCCCTTCATCGACTGCAAAGGGTCTGTGTGTGATTGTCAAGATGCCTTTAGAGTCGACTCAGACGAGATGCTGGCAGAGGTGGAGGTGCAGATGGCGCTGCAGCGACTCAGGCACAGCCATGGCCATGACCTGGCGCACTCTACTGCCTCCTTTGTTGACTGCAAGGGTGGCGTGCAGCACACATTTGCAATGCCTCACAACAAGAGGTGGGGAGGAGCACATGGCTCTGCAGTGACTCACGCATGGGCATGGGCATGCCGCATGGACATGGGCATGGGCAAGGGCATGGGCATGGGCAAGGGCATGGGCATGGGCATGGGCATGGGCATGGGCATGGGCATGGGAACGGGCATGGGCATGGGCATGGGCATGGGCATGGGCATGGGCATGGGCATGGGCATGGGCATGGGCATGGGCATGGGCATGGGCATGGGCATGACTCGTGTCACTCCACTGCGTCCTTCATTGACTGCCAAGGGTATGCACGCCCCTGATATACCGATATTAGTTTCATCGCTCACATATCTGACTCGTGTCACTCCACTGCCTCCTGTATAAAGACATGTTCATGTAGCCCCGCGAGTCACATATCTGCAATCGCCAGTGTGCGTACATACAGCCACATGTGACAGTGGCTCTATCTCTCTGTCTCTCATTCAATATCCCCATCACATTTTCCACCTCACAATCTGATCCTACCTTTCTCTCCCCCCTAACAAACATGCCCCCACGATTCCCCTTACCCCTCACCCAATCATCCACCTCTACTCCACCACCTCCCGTGGCGCAGCAACAGAGTGCTGATGTGCCGGGCATTGTTCTTGCCCATGCTGGTGTGCCGGGGGTTGTTCTTGCCCCTGCTGGTGCGCCAGGGGTTGTTCTTGCCCCTGCTGGTGCGGGCCATTCCCCTTGACTCGTTCCACTGCATGCGCAACCCCTGACTGACTCCCTTCTGCGGCCGCCATTTCCCATGGGCCACACCAGGGTGCGGGTGTGCCGGGGGGTGTACTCCCCACTCCTGGTGCGGGCGTGGGAGGAGTGGGCGGATGAGAATGAGTCCCACAACGACCACCCAGGCATCTTTCCCTCTGATCAGGTGAGCTAGCATGCATGTGATCAGGTGAGCTAGCATGCATGTGATCAGGTGAGGTAGCATGCATGTGATCAGGTGAGCGAGCATGCATGTGATCAGGTGAGCGAGCATGCATGTGATCAGGTGAGCGAGCATGCATGTGATCAGGTGAGCGAGCATGCATGTGATCAGGTGAGCTAGCATGCATGTGATCAGGTGAGCTCGCATGCATGTGATCAGGTGAGCGAGCATGCATGTGATCAGGTGAGCGAGCATGCATGTGATCAGGTGAGCGAGCATGCATGTGATCAGGTGAGCGAGCATGCATGTGATCAGGTGAGCTCGCATGCATGTGATCAGGTGAGCTCGCATGCATGTGATCAGGTGAGCTCGCATGCATGTGATCAGGTGAGCTCGCATGCATGTGATCAGGTGAGCTAGCATGCATGTGATCAGGTGAGCGAGCTACATGTGATCAGGTGAGCGAGCATGCATGTGATCAGGTGAGCGAGCATGCATGTGATCAGGTGAGCGAGCATGCATGTGATCAGGTGAGCGAGCATGCATGTGATCAGGTGAGCTAGCATGCATGTGATCAGGTGAGCGAGCATGCATGTGATCAGGTGAGCTACCATGCATGTGATCAGGTGAGCTTGCATGCTTGTGACCAGGTGAGCTCGCATGCACGTGATCAGGTGAGCTAGCATGCATGTGATCAGGTGAGCTAGCATGCATGTGATCAGCTGAGCTAGCATGCATGTGATCAGGTGAGCGAGCATGCATGTGATCAGGTGAGCTAGCATGCATGTGATCAGGTGAGCGAGCATGCATGTGATCAGGTGAGCTACCATGCATGTGATCAGGTGAGCTTGCATGCTTGTGACCAGGTGAGTTCGCATGCATGTGATCAGGTGAGCGAGCATGCATGTGATTAGGTGAGCTAGCATGCATGTGATCAGGTGAGCTAGCATGCATGTGATCAGGTGAGCTCGCATGCATGTGATCAGGTGAGCGAGCATGCATGTGATCAGGTGAGCGAGCATGCATGTGATCAGGTGAGCGAGCATGCATGTGATCAGGTGAGCGAGCATGGATGTGATCAGGTGAGCGAGCATGCATGAGATTAGGTGAGCTAGCATGCATGTGATCAGGTGAGCTCGCATGCATGTGATCAGGTGAGCTCGCATGCATGTGATCAGGTGAGCGAGCATGCATGTGATCAGGTGAGCGAGCATGCATGTGATCAGGTGAGCGAGCATGCATGTGATCAGGTGAGCGAGCATGCATGTGATCAGGTGAGCGAGCATGCATGTGATCAGGTGAGCTAACATGCATGTGATCAGATGAGCTCGCATGCATGTGATCGGGTGAGCGAGCATGCATGTGATCAGGTGAGCGAGCATGCATGTGATCAGGTGAGCTCGCATGCATGTGATCAGGTGAGCTAGCATGCATGTGATCAGGTGAGCTACCATGCATGTGATCAGGTGAGCTTGCATGCTTGTGACCAGGTGAGCTCGCATGCATGTGATCAGGTGAGCTAGCATGCATGTGATCAGGTGAGCTAGCATGCATGTGATCAGGTGAGCTAGCATGCATGTGATCAGGTGAGCTTGCATGCTTGTGACCAGGTGAGCTCGCATGCATGTAATCAGGTGAGCTAGCATGCATGTGATCAGGTGAGCGAGCATGCATGTGATCAGGTGAGCGAGCATGCATGTGATCAGGTGAGCGAGCATGCATGTGATCAGGTGAGCGAGCATGCATGTGATCAGGTGAGCGAGCATGCATGTGATCAGGTGAGCTAGCATGCATGTGATCAGGTGAGCTAACATGCATGTGATCAGGTGAGCTCGCATGCATGTGATCGGGTGAGCGAGCATGCATGTGATCAGGTGAGCGAGCATGCATGTGATCAGGTGAGCTCGCATGCATGTGATCAGGTGAGGTAGCATGCATGTGATCAGGTGAGCGAGCATGCATGTGATCAGGTGAGCTTGCATGCTTGTGACCAGGTGAGCTCGCATGCATGTGATCAGGTGAGCTAGCATGCATGTGATCAGGTGAGCTAGCATGCATGTGATCAGGTGAGCGAGCATGCATGTGATCAGGTGAGCTAGCATGCATGTGATCAGGTGAGCTAACATGCATGTGATCAGGTGAGCTCGCATGCATGTGATCGGGTGAGCGAGCATGCATGTGATCAGGTGAGCTCGCATGCATGTGATCAGGTGAGGTAGCATGCATGTGATCAGGTGAGCTCGCATGCATGTGATCAGGTGAGCGAGCATGCATGTGATCAGGTGAGCGAGCATGCTTGTGATCAGGTGAGCGAGCATGCATGTGATCAGGTGAGCTAGCATGCATGTGATCAGGTGAGCTCGCATGCATGTGATCAGGTGAGCGAGCATGCATGTGATCAGGTGAGCGAGCATGCATGTGATCAGGTGAGCGAGCATGCATGTGATCAGGTGAGCGAGCATGCATGTGATCAGGTGAGCTAGCATGCATGTGATCAGGTGAGCTAACATGCATGTGATCAGGTGAGCTCGCATGCATGTGATCGGGTGAGCGAGCATGCATGTGATCAGGTGAGCTCGCATGCATGTGATCAGGTGAGGTAGCATGCATGTGATCAGGTGAGCGAGCATGCATGTGATCAGGTGAGCGAGCATGCATGTGATCAGGTGAGCGAGCATGCATGTGATCAGGTGAGCGAGCATGCATGTGATCAGGTGAGCTAGCATGCATGTGATCAGGTGAGCTCGCATGCATGTGATCAGGTGAGCTCGCATGCATGTGATCAGGTGAGCGAGCATGCATGTGATCAGGTGAGCGAGCATGCATGTGATCAGGTGAGCGAGCATGCATGTGATCAGGTGAGCTCGCATGCATGTGATCAGGTGAGCTCGCATGCATGTGATCAGGTGAGCGAGCATGCATGTGATCAGGTGAGCTCGCATGCATGTGATCAGGTGAGCTCGCATACATGTGATCAGGTGAGCTCGCATGCATGTGATCAGGTGAGCGAGCTACATGTGATCAGGTGAGCGAGCATGCATGTGATCAGGTGAGCGAGCATGCATGTGATCAGGTGAGCGAGCATGCATGTGATCAGGTGAGCGAGCATGCATGTGATCAGGTGAGCTAGCATGTATGTTATCAGGTGAGCTAGCATGCATGTGATCAGGTGAGCTACCATGCATGTGATCAGGTGAGCTTGCATGCTTGTGACCAGGTGAGCTCGCATGCACGTGATCAGGTGAGCTAGCATGCATGTGATCAGGTGAGCTAGCATGCATGTGATCAGCTGAGCTAGCATGCATGTGATCAGGTGAGCGAGCATGCATGTGATCAGGTGAGCTAGCATGCATGTGATCAGGTGAGCGAGCATGCATGTGATCAGGCGAGCGAGCATGCATGTGATCAGGTGAGCGAGCATGCATGTGATCAGGTGAGCGAGCATGCATGTGATCAGGTGAGCGAGCATGCATGTGATTAGGTGAGCTAGCATGCATGTGATCAGGTGAGCTCGCATGCATGTGATCAGGTGAGCTCGCATGCATGTGATCAGGTGAGCGAGCATGCATGTGATCAGGTGAGCGAGCATGCATGTGATCAGGTGAGCGAGCATGCATGTGATCAGGTGAGCGAGCATGCATGTGATCAGGTGAGCGAGCATGCATGTGATCAGGTGAGCTAACATGCATGTGATCAGGTGAGCGAGCATGCATGTGATCAGGTGAGCGAGCATGCATGTGATCAGGTGAGCGAGCATGCATGTGATCAGGTGAGCGAGCATGCATGTGATCAGGTGAGCGAGCATGCATGTGATCAGGTGAGCTAGCATGCATGTGATCAGGTGAGCGAGCATGCATGTGATCAGGCGAGCGAGCATGCATGTGATCAGGTGAGCGAGCATGCATGTGATCAGGTGAGCGAGCATGCATGTGATCAGGTGAGCGAGCATGCATGTGATTAGGTGAGCTAGCATGCATGTGATCAGGTGAGCTCGCATGCATGTGATCAGGTGAGCTCGCATGCATGTGATCAAGTGAGCGAGCATGCATGTGATCAGGTGAGCGAGCATGCATGTGATCAGGTGAGCGAGCATGCATGTGATCAGGTGAGCGAGCATGCATGTGATCAGGTGAGCGAGCATGCATGTGATCAGGTGAGCTAACATGCATGTGATCAGGTGAGCGAGCATGCATGTGATCAGGTGAGCGAGCATGCATGTGATCAGGTGAGCGAGCATGCATGTGATCAGGTGAGCGAGCATGCATGTGATCAGGTGAGCTAGCATGCATGTGATCAGGTGAGCTAACATGCATGTGATCAGGTGAGCTCGCATGCATGTGATCAGGTGAGCGAGCATGCATGTGATCAGGTGAGCGAGCATGCATGTGATCAGGTGAGCTCGCATGCATGTGATCAGGTGAGCTAGCATGCATGTGATCAGGTGAGCTACCATGCATGTGATCAGGTGAGCTTGCATGCTTGTGACCAGGTGAGCTCGCATGCATGTGATCAGGTGAGCTAGCATGCATGTGATCAGGTGAGCTCGCATGCATGTGATCAGGTGAGCTAGCATGCATGTGATCAGGTGTGCTACCATGCATGTGATCAGGTGAGCTTGCATGCTTGGGACCAGGTGAGCTCGCATGCATGTGATCAGGTGAGCGAGCATGCATGTGATCAGGTGAGCGAGCATGCATGTGATCAGGTGAGCTAGCATGCATGTGATCAGGTGAGCGAGCATGCATGTGATCAGGCGAGCTAGCATGCATGTGATCAGGTGAGCTAACATGCATGTGATCAGGTGAGCTCGCATGCATGTGATCGGGTGAGCGAGCATGATTGTGATCAGGTGAGCGAGCATGCATGTGATCAGGTGAGCTCGCATGCATGTGATCAGGTGAGCTCGCATGCATGTGATCAGGTGAGCTAGCATGCATGTGATCAGGTGAGCTACCATGCATGTGATCAGGTGAGCGAGCATGCATGTGATCAGGTGAGCGAGCATGCATGTGATCAGGTGAGCGAGCATGCATGTGATCAGGTGAGCTAGCATGCATGTGATCAGGTGAGCGAGCATGCATGTGATCAGGTGAGCTAGCATGCATGTGATCAGGTGAGCTACCATGCATGTGATCAGGTGAGCTAGCATGCATGTGATCAGGTGAGCGAGCATGCATGTGATCAGGTGAGCTACCATGCATGTGATCAGGTGAGCGAGCATGCATGTGATCAGGTGAGCGAGCATGCATGTGATCAGGTGAGCGAGCATGCATGTGATCAGGTGAGCTAGCATGCATGTGATCAGGTGAGCTAACATGCATGTTATCAGGTGAGCTCGCATGCATGTGATCGGGTGAGCGAGCATGCATGTGATCAGGTGAGCGAGCATGCATGTGATCAGGTGAGCTCGCATGCATGTGATCAGGTGAGCTAGCATGCATGTGATCAGGTGAGCTACCATGCATGTGATCAGGTGAGCTTGCATGCTTGTGACCAGGTGAGCTCGCATGCATGTGATCAGGTGAGCTAGCATGCATGTGATCAGGTGAGCTCGCATGCATGTGATCAGGTGAGCTAGCATGCATGTGATCAGGGGCAGAGGCGCTGTTCCCTTCGTCAGATGCGTCGCCGTTCCTCTGACGACTAGGTGGGTATGCTACGTCTAGATTCCTCAACACTACACGTTCTCCCCTCCCCTCCACCTTCCCTTTCCTTTGGCCGGCATTTCTTGTCCTTTTCTTGGAGCTCGTCGGATCAACACCACTCCCTCGCCATATCTGTCGGTCACTGACCTTCGGTTTCTCTCATGGGCAGGCGTACATTGTCTTTATTCTGGAAATGGGCGGCAGTGACTTGGAGAAGGGCCAAGTGCGCTCCTTTGATGAGGCACGCAGCATCTTGTTGCAGGTGAGGCGGGTGGGGCAGGTGAGGCGGGTGGGGCAGGTGAGGCGGGTGGGGCAGGTGAGGTGGGTGGGGCAGGTTAGGCGGGTGGGACAGGTGAGGCGGATGGGGTAGGTACTATCGAATGTTGCTGCGGTTGAGGCCCTCTTTGTCTTTCTTGCATTCTCCTGTGTCTCCTCTCCTCACCACTGTTCAATCCAACCATTTCCCATCGGCCCCACCCCACTGTATCCCATCCCTCCCAACCACACTTGGCCGCATTGCACCGCATCAACCCTACCGCAGGTTGCAGCTGGGCTGGCGGTGGCAGAGGCAGCGTGTGAATTCGAACACCGCGACCTGCACTGGTATGTTTGTTGCGCCTTGTTGCGTCTTGCTGCTACTTGTTGCATCTTGCTGCTACTTGTTGCGTCTTTGTGCACCTTTATCCAAAGAGGTGTGTTCCTCGCTGCGCTAGTGTATCGTTCACCCAGGGCCAGTGTCCTCGGTCACCTAACTTGGAAGCCAACTCAAATGCTGCATCTTCTCACTCCCCCTCTCGCACGTCCCACTGCACCCATCACGCCCCTATCTGCACCACACCCAGGGGCAACGTGCTCATACACCGCACCCAGTCAAGCAAGCCACAAATAGCAGCAGGAAAGGGGAAGAGCAACGGCAAGGGCAAGGGCGGCACGGCAATTGAGTGCCGGGGGCGCAGAGAAGGAGGTGCCCTGCAGGATTGTAGCGGGAGCATCAACAGCACCGGAAACAGTGGCACCTGGAGAAACATGGAGATTACTGCTGCTGATGAGGAGGCAGGCAAGGAAGAGGGAGATGGCGAGGAGGGGCAGTGGTTCCGGCTGAACGGGCAGCAGCAGCGCTTCCGTGATGCGGGGCTCCGAGTGGCCATCATCGACTTCTCGCTCTCCCGACTGAGATCAGGTACTTGCCTTTCATGCCTGAGCCGAGGTAACTTTGAGTGGACTCAAAAGTCACCTTAGCGTGGACTCAAAAGTCACCTTAGCGTGGACTCAAAAGTCACCTTAGCGTGGACTCAAAAGTCACCTTAGCGTGGACTCAAAAGTCACCGTAGCGTGGACTCAAAAGTCACCTTAGCGTGGACTCAAAATTCACCTTAGCGTGGACTCAAAAGTCACCTTAGCGTGGTCTCTTAAGTCACCTTAGCGTGGACTCAAAAGTCACCTTAGTGTGGACTCAAAAGTCACTGTAGCGTGGACTCAAAATTCACCTTAGCGTGGACTCAAAAGTCAACCAGATCTGGTATGTGCCTCCTGCAGTTGACCTGAGGTAGCTCCTCTTGTTGGCCTCCACCAGGTTTTTCCCGCCTCGCCTTGGATTGGTGTCTACTCTGTCGTAGGCTGCTGCAAGTACCTCCGGTTTAGCACGCGTGGCTCTCATATGTGGATCTGACTATTCCTACTTCACATCAGCTCGAGCCGACGCCCGGATGCTGGGTCACTCGCAACCGCGTGTCACCTTCACTGGGTATCACATATAAGTGTCCCCTCCTCACCCTTCCCCACGCACGCAACCGCGTGTCACCTTCTTTGGGTGTCACATTTAAGTATCTCGCCTCTTGTCCCTCTGTGTGTGCCCGAGTACATTTTGGCGACCTGTCCCAAGGCCAGCCAGCCACCTTCAGAGCGACAAGGGCGGCCCCCCAGCACCTCTCGCATTCCATGTGTCTCGTACATCCCCCCGACACTTACTCTCTTCCGCACTTGTCCCTGCACGCAGGTGCTCGTGTGCATTTCAGCGACCTCTCCCAAGAGCCAGCGATTTTTCAGGGCGATAAGGGCCACCCCCAGGTGAGTGCCGGCCCAGGTGAGTGCCGCCCCAGGTGAGTGCCGCCCCAGGTGAGTGCCGCCCCAGGTGAGTGCCACCCCAGATGAGTGCCACACGCCAGCCTCAGCCGATCCCACAGCAGGGCTGATACACTCGTCACTCCTCGTCTTGTTACATCTTGCTGCTTCTTCGTACTGCAATTGTTGTACGTGCTGCTTTCTGTCTAGCCAAGTGGTGTAGCAAACTGTATTCCTTCCTGCACTGGGCCAAATTGCTTCCTCAACTGACTTCTGTGGTGGTATGTGGTGTTGTGCATGGTGGTACGTGGTGGTGTTGGGTGGTGTGTGGGTGGTGTGTGGTGGTATGTGGTGGTGTTTGGGTGGTGTGTGATGGAGTGTGGGTGGTGGTATGTGGTGTGGTGTGTGGATGGTGTGGTGGTGTGATGGTGTGATGGTGTGATGGTGGTGGTGGTGTGGTGGTGTGGTGGTACGCTCATATCTGCAGTTTGACACATACAGAGAGATGAAGAAGAAGACCAGGGGACGCTGGGATAGATGGTACGCAGTGCTGTAGCATGAGATTGCGTCGGTCCTCACGCAGATCACACCGATCACACAGATCACATGGATCAGCCCATCGTTCTACGTTCTCCCTGGCAATCTTGTCGACGCCTCTTTACTCGCCTCCCTGTGCTCAAACACTGACATCCGCTTTCCTAGCCTATTCAATTCACCCTCCTCGTGATTTGCACTCATTGCTGTTGCCCTGCCTCCCCTCGTCCCACTTCTCATCACTCTCCCCATCCCTCTGTCTCATCACTTTTTCCTCTCAGGTGTCCTCAGACGAACAGTCTCTGGCTTAGATATCTGGCGGAAATGCTGCAAACCGGCAAGAAGATTGTGAGTTGTGGGATCAGGCAATACTGTGGAGACATGGGATTGATGTGCTTTATGGGGTACATGGGGAGAGTGTGGTAGATCGGGCACTATGGTGAGGCTATGTTGCCTTTGTTCTCGGCTGCTATGGTTTTCTTTATTAAAACCACAGGCTAGAATCGCACACCTGCGGAGCTTTTGAGAAAGTGTTTCGTTTAGGGGCAGACCCTTAGGTGCGTTTTCCATTTCCGAAATGGTATGGGACCCGAAATTGTCTGTAATGCGAAGTAGCTTTGCTACGTTATTGGTGCGTGACGATTGATTTGGCGTCAGATGCTCGGCGGATCAAGTTGTGACTGACCGCTCACACAGCTCAGTTTTTTCAAGAGCTCCATGGGTGTGCAATAGGTTTTAACCCGAGGTTCAACTGGATCGCATTTCGCGCAACCCATGTGGCTGTTCGGCACACAAGTTGCACAGTTCACCTTTCCCCTAGTCGCGAGTCATGGTCGAGGGAGCTTCGTAATGTGAAGCCTAATCATGTACACCGAGTACTTCCGAGGTACAGTAGGTTTTTTTCGTTTCACCAAGCTGGTGAAAAGTCAAAAGAGTCGCGCGCGCATTTCCCGCCTTGTCGCACATGCGTCAAATTGGCGCCACTGCGTTTCTATCATTGTTCAGCTGCCCAAAAACGCACCTCGCAAAATTGTACAGGGAGCCCGTTTTTTTTTTAAAGAACCATCTTCAAGAACGGCGCTCTTGAAGCCCCCCCTATGCTGTTTTAGCCTGTGGTTTTAACTGCACAACGTAAAGGTTGGGTCGTGAACAGGAAGGGGATGGATGACTAGCATTGGACTCGGAAATTCACCTAGCCTCTGCCTTTCATTAAACCTGCTGCTATTCAGTTAGGCTCATTTCTGGTTCTCTGTGGCCCCTCCCCTGACCTCAGTTCTTCTGCCTCACCAATTCCTCATCTCCTTGTCCTATATTTTGCATCACATTGCAGCAATTCAAGGCTACTGAGAAGAGGGCCATTAGCTTGTTTCAGGAGCGCATGGGCAAATGCCCTTCGTCACAAGCTGCCCTTGATGATCAGCTATTCTCTGACCTCTGGTGCTCGTAGAGTTGCAAGAACTGAACGATGAGAGGTGGTTTTGACGTTGGGAGGAAGGCTTTGTTGGAAATGATAACATGACTTTATAGGAGTCTCATCTCACGTGCTATAGAAATACGCGAAGACTACAACATCGAGGATTGCCAAGTCAAATCTTGCTACAGTTCCTCTGACGGTTGACGCATGCTGACAACACCTCACGGACAGGGCTTATCTTTGTTTTTTCACCTCTGATTTTCACCTCTGACAATCTGATTATCTTTTCAACTCATGGCCAAACTCTGATTTGCTTAGTGCCCTGGAGCTCGAACTCTGATTTGTCTGGGTTTTTTCACACTTTTCAAATAAAAACTCTCAGCCCTAGGATTAACGCCGCCGAGGTGTTACGCACCATTCTGTGTTATCTGGGAAGGGTGCCAAATCGGACCACATTTTTATTTTTAGGTGTGTCCCACATACTCTACGCACGCACCCCCTTCAATTCCGTGCGTAAAACCAGTGCTGAATTAATGCTGAAATGTGCAACATTTGGCCGAAATCTGCTCAGTACAGTCGGCTGGAAACTGGGATCCATCGGTCGAGTTCTCCCTAAAAAAATGGGTAATTTGCTGACAGATCAGCAACATTGAGCCGCTGATCTGTACGGTTACGATTTGTTCTCGCAACCTATGCGACATGGAGGTACGAGCCACCTCCATTACCAAACCAATGCGTATCTCAGCAATCCCATTCTTCTGTGGTGAGTCCGGCAGTGTGTACGACTGGCGGATGCCCTCCGCACGACAGAACTTGCCAAGCTGACCGAAGGCAAACTCACCCCCACGGTCAAGTGGAGACGGAGCACGGGCACGACGCGGTGGATGCGCACATATACAAATCACAGGATAAGAACGTCAGGCACGTCGACCTTCCGCTCCAGGGGAAACACCGTGATGTAGCGCGTGTAGTTGTCTACGAGCACTAGAAAGTAGCGCTCGTGACGCGGCCGAGGGATGGGGGCTGGGCCCCAGACGTCCAAGTGCAGGGTCTGGAGTCGCGCAGTGGTGGGGGGAAGTGAGGAGGAGTGAGTAGCACGGCGCTGCCGGCCCTCAACGCATGGCGTGCACGGAGGCGCGGGCAAGGGAGGGAGGGCAGGAAGCGACGCAGGGAGACCTAAGACAAGACGGTGCTGGGACATGTGAGCCAGACGCGGGAGGGCGGGGTGACATAGGCGTGTTGCCGCAGAAGCGACGGGTGAGTGGGCGACCAACACGAGCAAGCCGCAGCAACCTGGGTTGATGCAGCCACCTGGGGGGACGCCCCCACCGGAGGGGACGCGGTATCGAGCGTGAACAGGCCAGACACCGGGTCCCGGGGAAAAATCGTGAGGGGGCCACCAGTGGCGGCCTCAATACAGACTGCATGCCGCTCGTGTCCAGGAAATGTAGTGGTGACGCCGAGGTCCTGAAGGCAACCGACACCAACTAGGTTCCTGGAGAACGAGGGGATATGCAGACCCGTAAGTGAACCCGAGGGAAGCGCCGTACAGGGAAGTGTGGTCGAGCTACGTGCAACTACCGGATCTGAGGAAGGTTCAGCAAGATCGACGGCGGCAGGGGCAGCAAGCGGCGTGAGCGCAGTGTGGTCGCGAAAGAAGCAGGAAGACGCACTGGAGTCCAGCGTGAAGGAGAGTGCGGCGGTAGCATCAGCCGGTGGGGGCACTAACATGGAGCCTAGGCTAAACAAGGCAAGAGATCTTATGCCTGGTGTAGCAAGGGAGCCTAGACTACACACAGGAGGTACACCTATGCTAGGCAACACTAGAGTCATCACCATACATGGCATACAAAACAGAGGAAATCTGATCCATATCCATCACGAAGACAGGCACGCGGCGACGTACCAGGCTGGGACAGTCCGGGAGGTCCGGCTCAGGGCCAAAGCGGAGACGGAAGACTTCATCCAGGTGATGGTAGCAGCGGCGGTGGTGTGACCAGAACGGCTACAGACGGTGCCAAGAAAGGGACCAGTTTCGAGCTGGCAACTCATAGGGCTTGAGCTGGCCCCGGACATCGAGCTGCGCGGGCCACCACCACGGCCGCCGCCAGGCCATCACAGTGGCGGGTGTCCCCATGGCTGGTACTGCTGCTGCTGCGACCGGTGTTGCTGCTGCTGCCGGTGTTGCTGCGGCTATTGCTGGGGTTGTTGTTGCTGCTGTTGCTGCTCCTGCTGTTGCGCCGGGGCATCAGCCTCGGCCCCCTTGTCTGTACCACCGGCACTCGCACCACCACCACCTCCGACTCCCCGCCACTCCCGCCTCCCCTCCCACTGCCGCGCCCCCCTTTGGGGCGGCGACCCTTACCCTAACGAGGCTGCACTGAGGCTGCGGCGGCGGACTCAGCGACAGAGGCTGTCTCAGCAACACCAGCAGAACCGTCAGAGTAAGTGCACTGGGAGGGAGCACACTCCTTGAACATAGGGACCGGCGGAGTACTGCTAGACTGAGCGATAGTGCGCTTGTGGGTCTCTATCGCGAACAGGGTGGTGACAAAGTCGGTAAGGGTGAGGTCAGCAGGGTGGAGACTAAGGAAGGCATCGCGGGCGGTGGCTAGGCGGTCAGGAAAGCGCGTGGCTAGGAAGTAAAGGGTAGCGCCGAGGGGGGGAGGCGGTACAGTAAGCGGGGCCTCTGTGCTAACAGCTTGGTAGCTAGTCTCAAGCACGCGCAGGTGAATGGCAAGGTCAGACAGTAGGAAAGGACGCAAGATCAGGGAAAAGCAAGGGCAGAAGGAGGCGGCCAGCAGAGGCAGAGGAGGGAGTGGAATATCGTGCAACGACAGCATCTAGGTACTCATTCGCAGTCTCTACGTCTTGAAAGCGGGGACGCTCGGAGAGGGGGAGGGCGTGACTGAGAGCAAACTGCGCAATAGCATCGCGTGACTCCCGGAGAGAGCGGGCGAGCTCAGCAATTGCACAGCCTCACGCTCAGCAGGCGTGGGGTCATCGTGGAGGGTAGCAGGCGGGTCAGGGTAGGGGAGCTTACCGTTGACGTGGGCGGTCAGAGACTGGCAATCCTGGCGCTGACCCTTCAGCTGGCGGTAGAGGTCGGCGAGCCACGCCTCAAAGTCAACCGCCTGACTCTCAGCGTCCAAGCGAAGCACTGCGTCCGCCATCACCACAGCCGGAGCAGCTGGCGATCGCTAGAGGAGGAGAGTAGGGGGCAGGCAAGTGCTATGAAAAGCGGTGGAGAACGGTGAAGAGCGGTGGAGGGTGGTAGAGGAGAAAGCCGGCGAGAGCGCCGGCGCAGAGTGGAACCAGTGCCGACGAGAGCTCGGGCCGGCGCAAGTTGGGGCCTGCAAGCTGGGGCAGGCATGAGCTGTGGCCGGCAAGCAGGTGCCGGCGAGCAGGGGCCGGCGAGTTGGGGCCGTTGGGAACTGGGGCCGGCGAGCAGGGGCCGGCGGGAGCCGGGGCCGGCGAGCTAGGGCCGGCAGGCAGGGGGCGGCGATCGGACGCCGACGAGCAGAGGCGAGCAAGCTAAGGCCGGCGAGCAGAGGCCTGCGAGCTAGGGCCAGCGAGCAGGGGCCGGCGAGCGGGGCCAACGAGCGTGGGCCGGTCAGCTCTGGCCGGCGAGCTAGGGCCGGTGCGATCGGGCCGGCAAGCTAGGGCCGGCGAGCAGAGAGCCACTGACGGGCTAGGAGCCGCGCAGCACAGGTCATGCCAGCGGGCAGGCTAGGGCGGCACGACGGGACTAGGGCAGGCTAGGGTGGAAGCGCGGGTGGGTAGAGCTAACCTAGCTGATACCATCTCTGAATAACGCATTGAATTGAACAAGAGATACAAGGGACCTATATGGTTGGGGTTGTACTCACTAAGTGCACTAACCCTTCTAGCATATACAGTGGCGGATTAAATTGCCCGGATGTTTAACACTTTGAAACGTATCGTTATGCAACACATGTTTCGAAAATAGTAACACCCGTTTTTTTCCATTCTGTTACTCGGTTTTTGAGTTCTGCTTCATCCGTTTCTTGCTTGGCGCGATTGTGACACTAACGGAAAGTGGGGTTGAAATTTACTACTCGACTGTCGATGTGGACATTTCCTACCGAGCGGAAGAGTAGATCTATTTTCCCCCGTCGCTCAGTGTGTACATCGTCACGCGCACCAGTTCCTAGCTTAGTTGTTAGTCCGGAAGCGAGCCTACGACCGCATCGCTATGAAGCCGTTAAATGAGAAGAAGCGCGCGAGGATCAGAAGCATGTTGCGTGCGGGGCATTCGACTAGGAAAATAGGGAAACTTCTTGGCATAGGCAAGAGCACCGTGCACGATTACGGTATGAAACTCGCTGAGGAGACTAGTCGCGAGGAGGTGCGACCTACGATGCCTTCGGCCGGCCGCCCCCGCTTAATCACAACCCGTCTCCAGCGCGGAGTTATACGTGCGATTACTAGCGGCGAGGCGAAAAGCTCTTCAGACGCGGCCAAGATGTTGTTGGAGAAGCACGATCTCGCCGTAGACTCGAAGACGGTCCGCAACTCTTTACGATCCGCGGGGCTGATCGCCGTGCATCAGCCCAAGAAACCCAGGCTCTCACCGAAAAACATCCGCGATCGTCTCGACTTCGCGCGGGCGCATGCCGACTGGACGCTGGAGGACTGGAAGCGGGTGATTTGGTCTGACGAGACGAAGATTAACCGCTACTGCTCCGACGGACGTGCGTACGCCTGGATTCGCGAGGGCACCAGCCTTCGGAGCCACCAAGTCCAACAGACAGTTAAGCATGGGGGCGGTTCTGTGATGGTGTGGGGTTGCATGACGTATGAGGGGGCGGGGTTCATGTGCAAGATAGATGGCAGGATGGATGGGCCGCTGTATCGCAGCATCTTGCAAGATGAGCTCAAACAGACCATCGATTTTTTCAAGCTTTCCCCCTCAGAGGTCATTTTCCAGCACGACAATGATCCCAAGCACAGGTGTCGTCTGGTCCAAGACTGGCTTGGGGAGCAGGAGTACGCGGTACTGGAATGGCCGTCGTGCTCCCCGGACCTTAACCCAATTGAGCACCTGTGGGCATACTTGAAAAGGCAGCTGGGGAAGTACGAAAAGCCGCCAAGGGGAATGCTGGAGCTGTGGGAGAGGGTGCAGGAGGAATGGGACAAGATACCGCCGGAGGTGTGTGCAAACCTGATCGACAGCCTGCCGAGGAGGATCAAGGCAGTGATTCGGGCAAAGGGACGCTGGACTAGGTACTAGTTTTCCTAGAATCTAGTGTGATACCATTTTCCGGTACAAATT